GCTTGTATCATTAGAACCACCCCCAAGACATCATTGATTTGTTCTCCAAAGAAAATATAGTTAGCTCGGTCAGTGTGGCTCAGTGTTGGAGCATCATCCCATGCACCAAAAGGTCGCTGGTTTGATTCCTGGTCAGGGCACATGCCCGGTTGTGGGCCTGATCCCCAGCAGGGGGTCATGCAGGAGGTGGTCAGTCGATGTTCTCTCTCATCAATGTTTCTATCTCTCTCTCCCTCTCCCTTCCTCTCTCTCTAAAAATTAAGAGAGAGAAAAACAGAAAATATAGTTAAAGTGGTCTTTAAAAAATATATATACTTTGGCCCTGGCTAATTTAGCTCAGTGGTTAGAGCACTGGCCCACAGATCAAAGAGTTGCGGTTTCGATTCCAGTCAAGGACATATACCTAGGTTTCGGTTTGGTCCCTGACCCTAGTCAGGGTCATCCAGGAGGCAACCAGTCAATGTGTTTCTTTCACCCTCTATCTGAAGATAAATGGAAAAATATCAAGTGAAGATTTTAAAAAAATAACAAAAAATGTATACTTTGATTTATCTTTGTTCATTCTAACATGGTAACATATAAAAGAGTCTATTCTCAGTTAATCATTTATTTATGAAGCTGAGTTAATGTTTCAGGATGAATGACTTGGTACTTTGTGTTCAATTAGTAGGCTTCACTGTTGAAATTCTTAGGAATCTTAAGGACAGATTGGCCAGTATGGATTCCAGGTTAAATACCCAGCAAAATTCTCACTAGACATCATGTGCTTTAGGAATGAAGGCTTTTGTGAGATAAGGAGGGAGTTAATTCAGCTATTTCAAGAAATCAGCTGATGAGGAGACTTCTGAGCCCAGCGTCTCAAACACTCGGCACTGAGATGGAGGGATGGGGGATGCCATCTCTTCTCATTGTGGAGGGAGTAAAGAGAGATCAGTCTCTGGCTCAAGAATCCTGAGCTGTTAGGGTCAGTCAGCGTGAGCTGGTCCAGTTCCAGTCTGACTTTATGTCGCATGTTGTCAACAAATGATGTTGAAAGGGCAGATGTTGCAGCATCTGCCAGCCTGCCTAGTGCCATGGATGGCGTGGATTATGGGTTTGGCCTTAGCCAGGGCTCATGCCCATCATTGTCTTAGCTCTGATTCTTTACCTTTGAAACACCCTGCCTACATACAGTATGGTCCTTCCCTCCTTTTGTGGTCAAAGGTCACCTCTCCCTGGCTAATTGCATCATCCTTTTTTCTCTCTCCCTCCTCACTCTCTTTCTTCTTTCTTTCTCTTTAAAGTTTTCATAATGGTAAAGTTCAATTCTATACAGAAGTAGAAAGAATAGTGTAATTCTTCCCCAGTATCCCACCCCCAGCCTCAGCAGCTCTCAGTCATGGCCATTTAGTTACATATATGTACATTAGCTTCAGGCTTTTAAGTGTCTCTAAAAATATTTCAGTAAGTGTATCAAAAAAGCAGTGTGCTTAAATGAAGAACAATTCCTTAGTATCAACTATTCAGTCAATATTCAACATCCAGGATCAGTATTTGCTTTCTAGTTACCTTATAAATGTGATTTTTTAAAAATAATTTTTCTTGCCCTGGCTGGTTTGGCTCAGCGGTTGGAGCATCGGCCTGCGGTCCCGAGAGACCCGGGTTCGGTTCCCGCTAAGGGCATGTACCTCGGTTGCAGTTTGTCCCTGGTCCTGGTTGGTCGTGCGGGTGGCAGCCACTCGATGTGTCCCTTTCACATCGATGTTTCTCTCTCTCTCTCTCTCTCTCCCTCTCTCTCCCTCCCACTCTACCTGAACAAAAAAATGGAAAAAATGTCCTTGGATGAGGATAAAAAAAAAAAATAATTTTTCTTTATTGATTTTAGAGAGAGAGAAAGGGAGAGAGAGACATTGATGACAGAGAATATCGACTGGCTACCTCCTGCATGCCCCCCCACTGGGGACTGGGCCCACAACCTGGGCATGTGCCCTGACCAGGAATTGAACTGTTGACCTGTCTGTGCATGGGTCGACGCTCAACCACTGAGCCACACCTGCTAGGCTAAATGTGATTTTTTTTTTAATCCTCACCTGAGGATATTTTTCTTTTAGATAGAGTGGGAGGGAGGGAGAGAGAGGAAGAGAGAGAGAGAGAGACATTGATGTGAGAGGGTCACATCGACTGGTTACCTTTCGCATGACCTGACCAGGGCCAGGGATGAGCTGTAACCAAGATACGTGCCCTTGACTGGAATTGAACCTGCGACCCTTTGGTCAGAGGGCTGATGCTCTAACTGCTGAACCAAACCGGTCAGGGCTAAATGTGATTTTTAAGAGACAATTTATTTGAATCAGGATCCAAAAAAGTCCTTACATGGCAGTAGGTTGATGTGTCTCCTAAGTCTCTTAAAGAAGGTTTACTCTCCATCTTTTTTTTTCACTCCTTGAAAATAGCAGATCATTTATATGTTTCTTTCTTTCTTTCTTTCTTTCTTTTTTTGTTAATTCTCACTTGAGGATACTTTTTGCATTGATTTTTTTTTTTTTTTTTTTGGTTAGAGAGAGAGGAAAGCGGTGGTGGTGGGGGTAGATACATCAATGTGAGCCCTGGCTGGTTTGCTCAGCAGTTAGAGTGTTGGCCTGCAGACCAGAGAGACTCAGGTTCAGTTCCCTCTGGGGGCATGTACCTTGGTTGCGGTTTGTCCCAGGCCCCAGTTGGGGTCAGTGGGTGGCAGCTAGTTGATGTGTCTCTCTCTCTCTCTCTCTTCCGCTCTCCCTCCTGCTTGCTCTATCTGAAGATAAATGCAAAAATGTCCTCAGGTGAGGATAAAAAAGAAAAAAAGAAACATCAGTGTGAGAGAGACACATTTGTTGGTTGCCTCTAGCACACACCCCAACCAGGGTCAGGGATTGAACCCATACCCTTAGGTGTGCAGGCTGACACTTTAACCACTGAGCAACATGGGCCAGGGCTCTCTTAAATACAGTTTTAATATTTGTTCTGTACCTTTGCTTTGATTTTTCTTCTCAGGGATTTCCATTTGCCATAATAACGTGTCTTTTTTTTGGTATGTGCCCCTAGCGGGAACCAAATCCAGGACTCTGGTCTGCAGGCCAATGCTCCAACCGCTGAGCCAAACCGACTAGGGCCATAATAATGTATCTTTGCCTTACTCTGCAGTATTGGTCATTTTCTCTTGAATCCTTTTTATGTCTTTATTGGTTTGCTTTTTTATCCTCGACGAGGACATTTTTCCATTTTTTGTTCAGATAGAGTGGGAGGCAGAGAGAGGAAGAGAGAAAGAGAGAGAAACATCGATGTGAAAGGGACACATCGAGTTGCTGCCTCCTGCAGGAGACCCAACCAGGGCTGGGGACAAACTGCAACCGAGGTACATGCCCTTAGTGGGAACCGAACCTGGGTCTCTCTGGACCACAGGCCGACGCGCTCACCGCTGAGCCAAACCGGCCAGGGCTTGTTATTACTTTTGATTACAGCTGTCAGTACTTTTGCTTGCAGTGATAGCTCATGGCTTTAATTTGCATTTCCCTAAGGACTCATGATCTTGAGCATCTTTTCTTTTTTTTATCCTCATCCGAGGACATTTTTCCATTTTTTTGTTCAGATAGAGTGGGGAGGGGGGGAGGCATCGACGTGAAAGGGACACATCGAGTGGCTGCCACCTGCACGACCAACCAGGGTCGGGGACAATCTGCAACCGAGGTACGCCCCCTTAGCGGGAACCGAACCTGGGTCTCTCTGGACCGCAGGCTGATGCTCTAACCGCTGAGCCAAACTGGCCAGGGCTTGAGCATCTTTTCTTGTGCTTATAAGCCATTTGTATAACTTCTTTGATGAAATAACTTTTTAAATCTTTTTTGTTTTGTTTTTTTTTTGAGAGAGGAAGTGAGAGAGAAACATCCATGTGAGAGAAACATTGATGGTTGCCTCCAGTATGCACCCCGACTGGGGATCAAACCCACAACCTGGGCATGTGCCCTGAATGGGTATCAAACTGGCTACCTTTTGGTGCATGGGATGATGTTCCGCCAGCTGAGCCACACTGGGCAGGGCAACTGTTTACATGTTTGTTTGTTTTATCCTCACCCGAGGACACTCCTGCATTTATCTTTAGACAGAGCGAGAGGGAGAGAGAGAAATTTCGATATGAGAAAGACACATCAAGTGGTCATCACCCACATGACCCCAATCAGGGCCGGGGACAAACTGCAACTGATGTATGTGCCCTTAGCGGAAACCAAACTCAGATCTCTTTGGTTCACAGGCCGATGCTCTAATTGCTGAGCCAAACTTGCCTGGGCTATTTTTTCATTTTTAGTTAATTAATTTATTTTGTTATCCAAGAATATTTTTTTCATTGATTTTTTTAGAGACTGGGGCCAGGGATGGAACCTGCAACCCACGTACGTGCCTTGACCAGGAATTGAACACATGACCCTTTGGTCTGTATGCCAGTGTTCTCACTGCTGAGCCAAACCAGCCAGGGAAAAGTGCAAAACTTTAAAATTTTGATGAAATCTAGTTTATACTTGGAAATATAAATGTATCTTCTTTCTGAAGAATTTAATTTTCTGTAACATTTGTGGGTGAATTATCCTACTTACTTTTTATGATTTTTAGGTCTACTTGCCTAAGTTGTTTTTCCTAAGAACTCTGCACAGTTGTTGGAACGGATGGGTTGGTCTATGGTATGTCTAGATACTGGCTAGAATAGTACCTAAAACGTCAACAGCAGGTGATCTTTCCACTCAAGAAGCAAGGCTTATTCCATAACTCATGGTTCTAGGTGCTGTTGGCACCTTCCTAGGATACCTACTGCCTGTTCTCTGTCTGGAGCTGTTGGTGTCCTTTAGATCAGAGGAATCAGTGGCTCTTATTTTCAGCACTGTACCCTCCAAGTAAGCTGCTTCTCTGAATGTGGTGAAAAGGTCAAGTTCATGATACTTCCCCTTCCATTTTTGTAAAGGCTTGGGTAACATATTCTTAATTGGCAATTGCAGGTGAAGGACTTAACAAAATACTTGGATCCCAGTGGGCTCGGCGTGATCAGTTTTGAAGACTTCTACCGAGGAATCACCGCAATCAGAAATGGAGGTCAGTCATCCCCACAGTGCAGACAGTGCAATTGAGTCCACTGTAATAAAATTCTCTGGCCATTGACCTGCCCGGTGAGGGAGAGGAGCTATCTCTGTAGAGGCTGATTCTCTGTCTGTCAAGCATGAAGTGTTGCTGGCTGCTGACCTGTGTGGTAGTCTCGTGGTTTGCATGTGTATTGAAGTTTAGTGACTTAAAGCGTGTGTAGATATTTATTAATCTAGTGAGAGAAAATGGTCATCTGAGAATGGCCTGTCTCCTTGAGTCCTGATCTTCCCTTAATGGTTAACTATCACCCTGATTCACTGAGATTGGGCCTCTGCCTGTGTACCCCACCCCTCCGCCTTTGCCTGGGATGTTCCCACTGCAGCTGGGGCACTCTCTGTCCTTCCCAGGGGTTGGCAGAGAGAAGCCCAAGGCAAGGCCCTGGGAAGGATTTGTGGTTACCTGAGAGGAGCTGGGCTGGGCTCTTCTGTCTACCTCCAGAGCTCTCTCCAGCATACTCTCCCATTTGAACCTCTCCTGGCTTACCTGGCCTGCTACACCTGGTCTGTCCCCATTGCCCAGGCACCTGGCTCTCTGCAGCTGTACCTCCAGTATCGGAGAGCAGCCCTCTGTTGCTCTGAGGCCCCAAATCAGTTCATCTTGGGAAAGTCCTTCCTCCGGCCAGCTCCCACTCACCACTGAACCCCACTTGATTGTTTGAGTCTCTTTGTTTTTACATTCTTTTTGGTAAAATTTCCACTTTGATTTCATTAAAAGTAAAAAAGCCCAGCTAGTCCTAGAGTTAGCAAGGATTCTCCAGGAAATAGAGCTGTGTTTTTCCAAAGGCAAGAGCATTCTGGAAGAGAAGAATCCCCAGAGGATGGGATTTGGTCTCAAATGATACCACATTGGGGGGGTACATTGTAGGTAGTATGCCTCCACCCCCCCCCACCCCCCGCTGCCCTGAGTTTAGCTTGTGCAGAGCAGATCTCTGCTCCTGAAGTGAGGTGGTGGACCCTGGAAGTTGGGGGACAGTCTGCTGCTTGGGGGTGTGATTGAGGGGGCAGAGAGATTGGAGGTCTTGGACAGGGTTGGTGAGCGGTTGGCCTGCTAGCAGATGGGGCAGGGTCCTTGAGTGAATGGACTGAAGGGAGACTTTAGTGGGTTTTAGTGATGAGAGCTAGAATCAGGCTGGATGGAAGGGCAGCAGCCAAGGGAGGGTGCAGCTGAAACCTATAAGGACTGTGGGCATGGACACTGTTGAACCGAACTGGTCCACACTCAGGCAAGTAGAGTCCCCTGCCCTTAGGAGCTGGCATTCTAGTGGAGAACAGCCCACAATGAGGCCATATACCTACGAGAGATAACAGGAGCTCAGAAGTAGGGTAAAGCCAGATCTGGTCAGTGGAGGCCTCCCTGAGAAAGTTTGGGAAGGAGTGGCAGGGTCCAGGTGGGGGGCCTGAGGGGAGCATGCCTTGTGCATTTGGGAGCTGAAGGGAGGTCACTGCTTGGTTTGGGCAACCAGGATCACAAGGTAGAGGATGTGGCTGGGCTGTGGGTTCTGTGGGAGGACTTGACCTTTTTGTCAAGAGGCCTCACAGTTCAACTCCAGTGCCAGGCTCCCTTTAGAAGGGCTGTTGAGTGGCTCCTTGGCTCAGTGCCTGCATGAGCAGCTGGGCCTCCAGATGACTGTAGCTGGTGGGGCTTGGGGGACGCTCCAACCTGTGCACTGGATGTATTGCTGGTTGTGCTCAGGGCTATGGACTTGGTTTTACTTTTTTTTTGTAATTTGATGTCAACGTTTAACTTTTGTTAGGATAAGAGAATGAAAATAAAATTCGAATAAAAGCAAGTCAAAGATGATTTTGAAATGTATTTCATAGCATTTTTAGAAGACTGGAAAGCATGATTACTTGAACTGAATTTCAGCTCACATTCACTTTGGGTCTTCCCTCCAGTGTGCCATCATGGCTGCGCACAGCCTGTCTTGTCTGTCAGACTTTTATTCTGCATCCAGGCGCAGCATAGCAAGTGACATGATATATTGACCCAGTTTGCAGGGAAAGCACCAGGCGATTGTTACTGTCATAACCACAGGCCTTATTTCAGGAATAGAACGAGATAGAAAGGGAATTGTTACAAATAGGCCATTGCTCTGGCTCCTTGTCCCCCCGCCCCCACTCACACCCTGCCCCACCCAAGGCTCTGGAAGAATAAGATAAATGCACATTAGAAATTTCTACTTACTTGAAAATTGTTTTAGTTTTTATAAAAGAAAATTGATATGAGTCCTGTTTAGTTCCCATGAAGAATATAAAAATGCCAGCTATGTTCACATCTTTCTCGTCACCGTGTGGGGTGGGACTCCTAGATCATATGCCCACCACTGGAATGTGAGTAAATGTCTATGTGTCTGGAAGAATTAGCTAAGTTTTAAGTTTGAAATTCTGTGTTTCAATTTTTGGAATTGAAAGCAAGACTGTTAACATTTAAGAGGGGAAAATAGGCCAAAAACAGTTTAGCCTTTTACAAAATATGTGTGTGATCTCAAACTGCACTGGGATAATGGTTCTCTTTCACTTTCGGTCCCAGAAACCAAAAACTTCTATCCACAGCAATCCTCTCCCCTTTCAAAAAGAGAACATATAATTCTGCTGTAGTTCACCTGCACCAAAGACCCAAACCTCCAGTTCAGTGGACTCCAAGGCTGTCAGTCAGCTTGGCAGGCAGCAAATGCTGGACCCAAAGGCCAGCGCCCCTCTACATTGGGTCCAGTCTGCTGTGCTCTGAGGCTTTCACTCTGCCATGGTTTGAGCTACTCAGATATTTAGCCGCTCTCTCAGGGAAAACAATGTAAAACAACAGCCACATAAGGGATTTTGGTATAAGGGCTTTAATCACTACTGCAAAGCAATATTGAATTGGCAAAGGCATCTTGTAATTACTGAATGCATAAATACTTGAATTTGCATAGTTGTTGAGGGAAAGCATTATTACTGTTTAAGTTGCTCTTTAGAAACTGGACAGAGCAGCCATGTGTCCGTTCAGCTATTGCTCTGTGGTGAGAGTCCTTCAACATTTATTCTCCTGTCCCCATTTATACTGGCTGTTGTAGTGACTTCAAACCATTGACCCTTCAGAACCTGTCTGGAGGATGTGGAGGGCAGTATTTTTCCCACATGGTCCAGTTGCCAAAGAAGAATGTCCTCTGGCCAGGGAAGCCGTCAATGACTGTTTCAAAGTACTCCCCAGGAGTGTCCAGGGAGGCTTGCTATTCCATTTGGCCCTCAAAGACTATGCCACTTCTTTCTCTAGATTTTTAAAAAAAATTTTTCCTTTACAGTGGTTCTCAACCTTCTTAATGCCGTGACCCTTTAATACAGTTCCTCATGTTGTGGTGACCCCCAACCATAAAATAATTTTCGTTGCTACTTCATAACTGTAATTTTGTTTTCTGATAGTCTTAGGTGACCCCTGTGAAAGGGTCGTTCAACTCCCAAAGTGGTCACGACCCACAGGTTGAGAACCGCTGCTTTAGAGAGACAGGGAGAGGGAAAGAAAGGAAGGGAGAGGGAGAGAGGAAGGGGGAGGGAGGGAGAGATAGAAACACTGATGAGAGAGAACATCGATTGGCTGCCTCCTGCATGCCCCCCACTGCGGATTTGGTCCACAACCTGGGCATGTGCCCTGACTGGGAATCCAACCAGTGACCTCTTGGTGCATGGGTTGATGCTCAACCACTGAACAACACCGGCTGGGCTAAGACTACTCCACTTTTTATTTTTATTTATTTATTTTAAATATATATTTTTTATTGATTTCAGGGAGAGGAAGAGAGATGAAGAGAGAAACATCGATGAGAAAAAAAAAGAAACATCAATGAGAAAGAATCAACAATTGGCTGCCTCTTATACGCCCCCTACTGGGGATTGAGTCCACAACCTGGACATGTCTCTGACCAGGAATCAGTCCACTGAGCCACACCAGCTGGGCTCTACTCTACTTTTTATTTATTTATTTACTTTTTATTTTTTTATTGTTAAACATATTACAGATGTCCCCCTTTTTCCCTGTTGACCTCCCTCCTTCCTGTTCCCACCCTCCTCCTCCCTTCCCCAGCCTAATGTCTGTGCATATATTGCATATAAGTTCTTTGGTTTATCTCTTCCGACCCCTCCCACCCTCTACTCCATTTTTTAAAGCTGAACATTCATCAGCTGCCTCCTGCACGCCTCCCAATGGGGAAAGAGCCAACAACCCAGGCATGTGCCCTTGACCGGGATCAAACCCGAGACCTTTCAGTCCTCAGGCTTGATGCTCTAACTGCTGAGACAAACCAGCCAGGGCTCTACTCCATTTTTCAAATAAGTGACTGATGTTATGTCAGATTGTGTGAAATATATTGAATAAGTAACTCATTTGCTTTAAATAGTACTACTTTAATCTGTTTTCTGCTTATACTTTGACACCCAATGTATGTATGGGCTTTCGTCACCAAGAAATTCTCTAATTCTCTGGGGACCCCACCTGGGTGTCCTATAATTTAATTTGTTATGACACCAACTTCCCAGAGTTAGCACAGACCCCATTTCAGGTGCCCAGATTACCCACACTTCTGTTTGACACAACTCCTTCCTCAGGTTTGATAATTTGTTATAATGTCTCATAGAACCCAGGGAAACACTTTAGTTCTATCACTAGTTTATTATAAACGTTACAATGAACAGCCAGATGAAAAGGTATATAGGGTGGGTCTGGAGGGTCCACAACACAGAAGCGTCTGTCCCTGTGGAGTTTGGGATACCCCTCTCTCCCAATATGATGTCCTTGCTAACCCAGAAGCTCTCTGAGCCCCCTCATTTTGAGTTTTCTTATAGAGGTTCCATTACACATAATTAAGTTATTGGTTATTGTGATTAGCTCAGTCTCCAGCCCTCTCCAAAGAGGTAGTAGTGGAGCTGAAAGCTCCAGCCCTTTAATCACAAGGTCGGTTCCCCTAACCAGCCCCCATCCTTCAAGTGTCACCTCATTAGTTTAAACCCAAGTAAAATTGAGAGGGGCTTGTAAATGAATAACAGCAGGTGCTCTTTCCATCCCATCACACAGGAAATTTCCTAGACTTTTAGGAGCTCTGTGTCAGGACAAGGATATTAAGACCAAATAAATATTTCTTATGACAGTATATAGCAGTGAGGCATCATCAGGAAACATAACTCCATGACTTACACACTCTTTAGAAAACATTATACCTGCCCAGCCGATGTGGCTTAGTGGATAGAGCGTCATCCCATAGACTGAGAGGTCCTGGTTTGATTCCCAGTAGGGTGCATGCCTTGGTTGTGGGCTTGATCCCCAGTAGGTGGCCTGTAGGAGGCAGCTGATTGATGTTTCTATCTCTCTCTCCCTTCCCTTCTCTCTAAAAAAAATCAATAAAAATATATTTAAAAAAGAAAGTGTTATACTTGAACATGGCCAAGAGACTGTGGAAGCCAGTGTCTTTTTTTTGTGTGTGGGAATTAATTGTGTTTGAGAAGTGATGTATGTATTACTGCTGTCAGAATTATATTCTGTCCATAATAAAAATCACTCTTCCTTCTTTTTCTTATTATGAAACATTTATTGTAGGAGATAAAAGTTAAGCAAAAAAGACGAAAATAAAAACTGCCTGTGAATCTAGCACTGAGGGCAAGGTGTTGTTATTTTGGTACTATTTCATCATACCTACACCTCCCCAAACATGTACAATTAAAAAAAATAATAAGTCTTGCCCTGGCTGGTTTGGCTCAGCGGTTAGAGCGTTGGCCTGCGGTCCAGAGAGATCCGTGTTCAATTCCAGTCAAAGAGCACATACCTCAGTTGCAGTTTAGATCCCCAGCCCTGGTTGGGGTCATGCTGGAGGCAGCCAATCAGTGTGTCTCTCTCACATCAGTGTTCCCCCCCCACACACACACACACACACTCTGTCTGAAAATAAATGGAAAAATATCCTCAGGTGAGGATAAAAAAAAAAAAATCTAGCATCTAATACTTTTCATTTTTTGTTTGATTCTCACCCGAGGATATAAAAAAATTTTTTTTCTTTATTGATTTTAGAGGAAGGGAGAGGGAGAGAGAGATAGAAACATCAATGAGAGAGAACATCGATTAGCCGCCTCCTGCATGCCCCCCCCCTGGGGATCAGGCCCATAACCTGGGCATGTGCCCTGACCGGGAATTGAACTGTTGACCTGTCTGTGCATAGGTCGACGCTCAACCACTGAACTACATGGGCCAGACCCGAGGATATTTTTCTATTTATTTTCAGGTAGAATGGGAGGGAGAGAGAGAGAAAGAGAGAAACATTGACATGAGAGGGACACATCGACTGGTTGCCTCCCACATGACCCTGACCAGGGCCGGGAACAAACCACAGCCGAGGTACGTGCCCTTGGCTGGAATCGAACCCGAGACTCATTGGTCTGCAGGCAAACGCTCTACCACTGAGCCAAACTGACCAGGGCGAGCATCTAATACTTTTTTAAGGTTTGAGTAGTATCACAGAGCTGATACTCTGCTTTTTCTCTTTAACAATGCTGTCCAGCTCTTTTTTTAAGTTTTTTTTTTTTTTTCAATCCTCACCTAAGGACATTTTTCCATTTTTGTTCAGATAGAGTGGGGAGGGAGAGGAGGAGAGAGAGGGAGCGAAACATCCACTTGAAAGGGACACATCGAGTGGCTGCCTCCCGCACGACCCAACCAGGGCCGGGGACAAACCACAAGCGAGGTACGCACCCTTAGCGGGAACCGAATCTGGGTCTTTCCGGAGTGCAGGCCGACACTCTAACCGCTGAACCAAACTGGCCAAGGCTACGTTTTTTTCTTCATTGATTTTAGAGAAAGAGAAAGGGAGAGAGAGAGATGGAAAGATCAATGAGAGAGAACGTGAATATCGATTGGCCGCTTTCTGCCTGCCCTCCACTGGGGATTGGGCCCACAACCTGGGTATGTGCCCTGACCGGTGACTTCTTGGTGCATGGGTTGACGCTCAACCGCTAAGCCACACTGGCCGGGTGCTGTCCGTCTCTCTTAAGTAGTAGTTACCATTTTGCCTCCACATCACTGCCTAAGCACTCTAACAGGAAGTATTTTTTCAGTGGCGGACCTGCTTTCCTATCCTAACCTTTCTTCCCCCTGGGTTTGTCATAGCCAGTCCAAGCTCCATTGACCTCTCACACAGTTTCCCCCTTAACCTTTCTGGGTGGTCTGGGTTACCTGCTAAGTCTGGGTCTTCTCTCCCACAGATTCTGATGGCCAGCGATGCAGCATTGTACCTGCCCAGGACGAGGAGCCGCAGGCCTGCCCTGATGAGTTTGAGGACTTCGTTACCTTTGAGGCAAGTGGTTTTCACGAGAGAGCTGACGTTACACTGTGCTTTCTTAAGTCCTGCTTCACTTAGTGCTTTCCTGGGCTGTTTAAGTAGGAAATGGCTGGAAGGGCAGGGCAGGACTCACTCTGCAGCCCTGTGTACACTGTGGGGGGCACTGTGGTTGCTGGGCACTGGGCTTTAGGGGGCTCATAGCTGCAGCATACGTTGATGGGTGCCTACTCTGAGTGTTACACACTTGAAACCCTTGTCAGGAGATGCCCCTGGGCTCGTTGTTAGCAACTTGAACTCTCTGGTGATGCTGCCACCTTCTGTCAGGCTGCCAGGCAAGGCCAGAGCAGGGGACTCATTGTGAGGTTTTTGTTTTGTCAAATTTCAAACCATTTTCTGGGTCTGTTGGGACCTCTGACTAATGCCTTGCTTTACTCTGCCCCCTGCCCCCAGAAGAAGCCAGAGTTGCTATGGGAACATGGTGTTGCTGGTAATTGTGGGTGATTTTTTTTCTGCCAAGGCTTGGGGAAGGTCTATGAACACAGCCACAGAAGACAGACCACAGTCACTGTGTCCCATTAGTTGGGGGGGGGGGGGGCGCAGGGCAGATGCTGGGAGAGCCCAGGTGGCTGGATCTGGAATTTTTTTTAATTCACTGAAAACTCCTGAGTCCTTGAAGGCCGTGGTGGTCACTGCCAGCCCGTCAACCCTCTGTTACACAGTGAGGGGAGCAAGGTTAGGATGTGACCTGGTGGGCTTGAGGCCCTCCACATTAGTCCTCCGAGCCTCAGCTTCTTTGTGAAATGAGGGGGTTGCACAGAATAGTTTCTGAAAGCCCCTCTGAATATTAACTCACCACAGGATTCCACTGCTTTCCTTCTATGGCTTGTGATCCTCTCCAGAGAAGCTGCCCCAGGTATTGGTGAACCTTCAGATAGTGCAGGCTCATTTCCCAACTATCATTTATTTCTGCCTGCACAACCCCACCCCTCAAAGCCCCCTGGGCATGTTCACCCTTCACAGTTTTGTCCCAGAGTACCAGCTGGGCCTGAGCCCCACCCCCACCATAGGCAGGAGCCACCCAACCTTTGTCCCCTGTATTTATTCTGGGTGTGATTAGGGGATGCCAGGCCGGGTTCTGGCATGTTGAGGCCAGTGGCAAGCTGAGATTTATACTGACTTTGAGGCATAGTGTGGCTAAGTGAGGGACTTCAGGTGTGTATGACTCTGTTATGTCAGATTTCAGATGAACTACCAGCCCACGTGATTGTGAAAAGGCTGCTTACACAGCCTGAGTAGGAAGGCTTTGTGTATTTTGGCATGCTTTGAATTTTCCAGGAGTGCAGCTAGATCAGGGGGAGAGCCTTCCCTTTTTGTTCGGAGCACGTAGAGATTTGCCTTCGCTGCAGTATCGCAGGGTCCTGTCATTTATGTAGTCAGCACTGGACCCTTATCATGTCTCCCATACACTTTATCATCAGTGCTTTTGTTTTATTCCTCTCTCATATTTCTGCTAGGACATTACATTGATTTTTTTATATTTTATGTGTAAGTGGGTGTAGTGGGTCCAGTGGTGGTCCCCCAAAAGATAACATCCACCCAGAACCTGTGAACGTGTCCCTATTTGGAGAAGGGGTGATTTCAGATGTAATTAAGTTAAGGATCTCAAGATTAGATAGATCATGCTGGGTAGAGTGTCCCTAAAAAAGAAAAGGAGATAACACAGAGGGGAGAGAAGGCATATGAAGATGGAGGCAGAGACTGGAGCGATGCATCCACAAGGCCAAGGAGCCTGCAGAAGCTAGAAGGGACAGGAAGGGAGAATTCAACCTGCTAACACTTTGATTTCAGACTTTTGGCCTCCAGAGCTATGAGAGGATACATCCCGATTATTGTAAGTTGCCCAGTCTATAGTAATTTGATATAGCAGCCCCAGGAAACTAATACAGTGTTTTATTACTCAGGATAGTAAAGGCATTAACACATTTGGTACTTCAGGTTCCCATTTGGTTCAAAAGAGTGAGCCTCTGTGGTGGGGAAACCTGGATGGAGCGGGCAGTGGTACTGTTTGACCATGGCCTGATTTTGTCCTCTGAATGGATGGAGCCCCGCCTCAGCCCACATGACTGTGGCCCTCTTGCCTCTGTGGTTGCCTAGGCCATGGGGGTGTTCCAAATCCCACCTCTTGCCTTTCGATTGCATGGTGGGAACCTGACATTTCAAAGAGTATGCAAAAGGAATGTTTCTCAGGTTTTTAGATCCTAATTTTTTTAGAATGGAAGAAATATTTTTTAAAGTATTTTTGTTACTGAAAAAATTAATATACTTTATATTTTAGCAGTTTTAAGTTTACAGAAAATGCAGCAGATAGGACAGAGAGTTCCCATCACACCCCCTACACTTTAACAGTTTTCCCCATCATGAACATCTTGACCTCATGTGGTAGATTTGTTACACTGATGAACCAATATCAATGCATTATTATTAACTAAAGTTCATAGTTTACATGAGGGTTCACTGTTGGTGGTGTGCAATCTGGTTTTTGACAAATGTACAGTGTCATGTATCTACCATTATGGTACCATCCAGAGCAGTGTCACTGCCTTAACAATCCTCTCTGATCCCATGATTCATTCCTTCCCCCACTATCACCCCGCAACTGCTGATCTTTTATTGTCCCCATCGTTTTTACTTTTCCAGGTTGTCACATTGTTGGAATCATACAGTGTATGGCCTTTGTTGACTGGCTTCTTTCCCTTAGTAATATGCATTTAAAGTTACTTCATGTCTTTCTATGCTTTTTAAGGTTTTTAGATGTCACTTTTAGGGGAGTGAAACTAGGTACTGTGAAACTTACAGAATGATTACTTTCTTATCCTGGCTGGTTTGGCTCAGCAGTTAGAGCATCAGCCTGTAGACCAAATAGTCGTGGGTTCGTTTCTGGTCAAAGGCACATACCTGGGTTGTGGTTCAATCCCCAGCTCTGGTCAGGTTCATGCGGGAGGCAGCCAATCCATGTGTCTCTCTCACATCGATGTTTTTCTCTCTCTCTCTCTCCCTTCCTTCTACTCTATCAAGAAATCAATGGAAAAAATATCTTTGGGTGAGGATTAAAAATAATTAATTAATTAATTAATTAATTAAAAAAATAATGCTAGTACATTATATAATCTTTAAAAGTTCAGCCCTGGCCGGTTTGGCTCAGCGGTTAGAGCCTCAGCCTATGGTCCGGAGAGACCCGGGTTCGGTTCTCGCTAAGGGCACGTACCTCGGTTGCAGTTTGTCCCCGGCCCTGGTTGGGTTGTGTGGGTGGCAACCACTCGATGTGTCCCTTTCACATCGATGTTTCTCTCTCTCTCTCTCCCCCTCTCACTCTATCTGAACAAAATATCGAAAAATGTCCTCGGGTGAGGATGAAAAAAAAAAAAAAGTTCCATAAAAATAAAGTCCAGCTGGTGTGGCTCAGTGGTTGAGCGTCGACCCATGCACCAAGAGGTCGCTGGTTCGATTCCCGGTCAGGACACATGCCCAGGTTGTGGGCCCGATCCCCAGTGGGGGGCGTGCAGGAGGCGGCCAGTCAGTGTTCTCTCTAATTGATGTTTCTGTCTCTCTCTCCCTCTCACTTTCTCTCTAAAATCAATAAAGAAAAAAAATTTTTAAAAAAATAAATCCAATAAAAATATGAGTGGAGAATATGTACGTTACATCCAAATACCACACTTGGAGATCTTCACAGGTCAGCCTTTTGTTTATTATTATTATTATTATTATTATTATTATTATTAGTCTGGCTGGACACACGACAGTGTTGTTCAGGGGACCCTGTGCAGAGAATTACTGGTGGGCTGCTACTTCCAGTCCTTTTTCTGCCGGGGCTGTTCAGTGGGTCCTGTAGCTCTAACTCAGCATTTCCCTGAGCATCCTTTTGGCTTGTCACTTGTAACAACTCCTAGGAAAAAAATCACTGATGTGTTGTGTCTGAGAAGGAGAAGTGAGGATGTGACTTAGGTTTGTCACTGATGTTACAGGGAACAAAAAGAAAGCTCCTGGTCTGAGAATCTGAGTGTGGTAGAGGATGGAGTGCTGGAGGCCTATAGAAGGTGATCTGGTGTACCAGGGGATGGGAAAGTCATGGAACAGGCACAAACAGAACCGATAAGAATTGTTTCTGCTGTACCTCCTCTGTTCCTCCCTCCTTCTCCCATCTAGAGAAAAGAGCTACCTTAATAAAATATAACAGGGAAATGTGTCTTTTGTGCAAACTGTTATCAGAAAGGTTAGAGAGTCAAGAACAAAAGGCATTCTGTTTTGAGATATGACTGTTTGCTAAGATCACAGCAAGGGCACTTCCTGAACTTTGCTCCACCTCCATATCCCCCACCCCTACCTCCGCCACAGTAGGAGGTTTAACAGAGCATGTCTGGGAGCAGGTTAAACTTTTCCCCTGGCAGTGGTGTACCTTCAGGTGAATACACAGGTTTGGCAGAAACCCCAGCACAACTTGTCTGTTGAGAGTCTGGACAGAAGGCCCAAACGCTCCTGATACAATGGGAAGGCTGTCTCCAAGAGCGTGCCCTGGCTGGAGCTGGTGTGTGGAACCAGGCCTAGCCTGCAAAGCTGCCTGGGCTAGCATCTGAGGGTAAGAGGAGGCTGTGTTGTGGCAAGACACAGGCTTACACCATGCCCCGCAGTTAGTTTCCCTCCAAGGGGACCACAACCTGGACATTGGTGACCCCAGGCAGGATTGGCCATAGGAGTTCCTCGCTGATAGCTCTGTATGCAGTCTTCCTTGTCTCTCTGTTGGCAGATTATTTGTTAACTGGTGAAGGTAACATTAACATGTAGTGAAGTTTTCTGAGATGCATTTAGATTTCCACATGAGTTCATCTTAACTTGTTTAATTTTGTAAACATTTTTGTAGTTGGTGCCATAGACTTGTGGGTTTCTGGCAAAGCTAGGTTCTGTCTGGTGGGAAATATGAATGGATGGGGCATGTTGTGAGCTGCTTTTCTGTTTTGTATAAGTAGACTGTGGGTGAGCATGCACCATGATCTAAAATGACTTTCTGCCTTTCTTGAAAAGCAGGTGTTTACCCAACTGCCCTGGAAAACTACCTGCTGGCTGACATTTATTCGGGGCAGCCTTGACCAATAAAAACTGACCCTCACGTAGCATAGGTGGGACAGCACCTGGGCAATGAGCCCTACCTTTCTTCTTGGCCACTTGGCCCTCCCTGGGTTTTGTCCTAGGTACTCATGGAACCGATCAGTCCCTTGTCCTTTTTAGGCCCCTGTCTGTGTCCTTGATCTGCGTAGAAAGCTCCAGATAAGAGGCTGTTTACCAGTGCCCCCACTAGGGTGACTGAGTCTTTATGGCTGTACTGTGGGGACAGGGCCTTCATGACCTCATTTATTTGTAATTTTAGGCAAATTAAGGTGTAAGTGCAAACATAAAGCCTTTTGTGAAGTGGTTAACAGTGTTCCTCTGCATACAACTCTCATTTGGTGCAGAGGAACAAGATTGCTTTAGAAAGGAAGGTGAAGGTGGGAGAGTGTTCGCCCTCCTCTCTGTGTTTACAAGGTGGGGAGATGGCCATAACGGAGTGTGTGAGTACCTGACTTGAAGCAGTCGGGTTTATATAACTTCTGCCTCATTGTTTCTGCATCAGTGGAGAACTACTTCCATCTTGAACTGGCCTGGCTAATCTCCAAGGGGGTTTCAGCTGTAGCCCCAGCCTCAGCTGCACGATTTATGGCAATTCCTTGCAGGTGAAATAAACAGGCCCACTGTCCAGACCCTTTCCCCTTCCCTGGTGAGAAATGCTAGCTGGGTGCTGAGTTGATTTGCTGTTGATTCTGAGCTACCATTGAGGGCATGGGGTCCGGGCAGCCCAGAGAAGAGCATTGTATATATTAGAAGTGCCGGTTGCTTGGATTTTTAAAAGCTGACCTTAAGAGTCAAGTTCTGTTTCCCACAGAAAACCATTTCAGAGGGTCTCCAGTTAGTGTCTGGGGGTCCTTGATTGCCCTGTGTGCTGAGGATTAGGGTGTGTGGGCCCTGCCTTCTTTCTGAGTCTGAGGACTGAGGGTGAGGTAGGGGAGGTCCATGGGATCATCCTGCAGGTAAGGAGCAGTGCTCCTGCAGTTTTCAGCTATATGCTGAATAGCTGACTGGTCTTTGTCACTATTATTAGAGGTCTGGGGTGGGGAGTCTTCCTGGTGCCCTTGGGTGGTTCTTGGGTAGTATCCCATGCAAGTGAGCAGTGCCATCTGGGTAGCTGATCAGTAGTCATACCTCAGAGGATATCAGGAATTGACTGGATTTTGTGCCTGCTTGGTGTGTTTCCCCTGCTAGCCACGTCCTGACATACTGGCATCTCCTGCCCAGTCAAATAGGCTTGTTTCTGCCTATGCTACTTGCAGATCAAGCACAGAGCCAGCCTGTGCCTAGTGGAAAGAGACACACCTGCTTAGGGATTATGAGTAGAACTAGAGCCTCTTGAAGTGATTTTCTGGTTTCAGATTTTGAAGTGAACTTAGTTACCATAGATTCCAAGGAAGATTAGGTTTTTCATTAAAAATATAAGTAACAGGCCTGGCCGGTGTGGCTCAGTGGTTGAGCATCGACCTATGCACCAAGAGGTTGCCGGTTCGATTCCTGGTCAGGACACATGCCCAGGTTGTGGGCCCGATCCCCAGTGAGGAGCATACAGGAGGCGGCCCATCAATATTCTCTCTCATCGATGTTTCTCTCTCTTTCTCCCTCTCCCTTCCTCTCTCTAAAAATCAATAAAGAAAAAAAATTTTTTTTAAAATAAATAAATAAAAATATAAATAACGTCATTGAACACCTTAGTAGCTTCATCTCATGTCATTTCCTATTTTAATCTGGCCTTACAAGCAACTGGCAGGGATTCCATCCACCAGCGACATGTGAACCTCACAGTCTTTCATTTTGTTTCGGGACCAGTCTTTGTGGTCTCTCTTGATCTCATACGGTTGTGCAACCTTTTGAGATCAGCATTTACAACCCCCTTTTTATAAATGAGACGACAGGGCTCAGAGTGGTTGAGACCCCAGTCTGGGGTCATACAGCTGGTAGACAGTAGAATGAGGATAGACCTGGGCCTCCCATGAGCCATACCAGGCTCCCACTGGCTCAGCCAGGAGCCTTTGACCCTTTTCCATGGGGGCAAGAAGCCTTGGGGGTGCAACTTTGTGAGGCCTTCTAATTGCTCCCAAAGGTAGCCAAAGACTGACTTTTTTGTTACCGAAGCACTTCTGAACAGATTGTCCACCTACTGTGATACCTGAACCCAAGTACAAAGTGTACCTCTCCCCAGCTACTTTCTGAAATCTTATTGTTTGAAAATTGTTAAACTCAGAATCTTGCAGGCATGACACATTGGCTACTTTTCTTAACCAGTGTGATTGAGTTTTAATTGAAGTTGAGATTACAAATTGAAAGTGACCTATTTGACGGTTCTTTAGTTAGTTTGTTTTTAATATGTTTTTTATTGATTTTTAGAGAGAGGAAGGGAGAGGGAGAGAGAAAGAGAGAAACATCCATATGAGAGAGAAACATCTATCAGCTGCCTTCTGCATGCTCCTTATCAGGGATCTAGCTGCCAACCCAGGTATGTGCCCGGGACTAGGAATTGAACCGGCGACCTCTTGGTGCATGGGACAATGTTCAACCAACTGATCCACATTGGCCAGAGCCAGTTCTTTAGTTTTAAGTTAATTTTTACAATCCACAAATATTTCCTGCCTGTGTGTGCTGGCTGTGTGCTAGGTACTGAGTCCATATGGATAAAAATAAAGATATGTTTAGTGGGAAAGTAGACATTTAACCGGTAAACACAATTGATTGGTTAAATAATTGATTGATTGGTATTTTGAAGTTAGACCACGTAATTGAATTTTAATGCAGAAAGCTTGAACATGCATAACAGGTATTCATGGTGACTTCTTAAATTTTTTTTTTTAATCCTCACCTGAGGATATGTTTTTATTGATTTTTTTTAAATTCTCGCCAGAGGACCTTTTTTTTTCCATTTATCTTTAGATAAAGTGGGAGGGAGACAGGGAGGAAGAAAGAGAGAAACATCAATGTGAGAGAGACACATTGACTGGTTGCAACCCACATGATGCCAACTGGGACTGGGGACAAACTGCAACCGAGGTACGTGCCCTTAGCGGGAACCAAACCTGGCCTTTCTGGTCTGTGGGCCGATGCTCTAACTGCTGAGCCAAACCAGCCAAGTAAATTTTTTTTTTTAAGAGAGAGGAAGAGAGAGAAATATTGATGTAAGAAACATCTATTGGTTGCTTCTCATAGCCACCCTCACCAGGGATCGAACCCACAACCTGGGTATGTGCCCTGACTGGAAATCAAACCCATGACCTTTTGGTGCATGGGACGATGCTCCAACCAACTGAGCCACAGGCCAGGGCTTCATGGTGGCTTTTTAAATCAAAAGGCATATTCTTACACTATTGAATGCTGATTCTTGGATATAAATAATCCTAATGCTGGAAGCCACAAAATAGGTGGCTCTCCTGGGAATTGTAATGTGCTGGAGTGTTTTGTATGTTTTTTAAGTGTATTTATATAACTAACTTTAAAAATTACTCCAGCCCTGCCCAGCTGGTGTGGTTCAGTGGTTGAGCATCGACCCATGCACCAAAAGGTCACCAGTTCGATTCTGAGGTCAGGGCATATGCCCATGTTGTGGACCAGATCCCCAGTGGGGGGGCATGCAGGAGGCAGCCAATCGATGTTCTCTCTCATCAATGTTTCTATCTCTTTCTCCCTCTTTCTTTCCCTCTCTCTCTAATATCAATAAAAAGAAAAAAAAAATATTCCAGCCCTGGCTGCTGTGGCTCAGTTAGTTGAGCATTGTCCCATGCACTAAAAGGTTGCTGGTTCAATTCCCAGTCAGGGCACATGCTTAGGTTTCAGGCTCAATACCCAGTAGGGGGTGTGCAGGAAGCAGCTGATTGATGTTTCTCTCTCACATCAATGTTTCTCTGTCTCTCAAATCAATTAAAAAAATTATTTTTAAATTACTCCAACAGTTTTTTGTACTTAGACATGTTGCCTATTTTTCACTTTTAAATAATATTAATTTTTTTTTTTCTCTTTATTGATTTTTTTTTTATCCTCACCCAAGGACACTTCTCCATTTTTTGTTAAGATAAAGTGGGAGGGAGGGAGGAAAAGAGAGAGAGAGAGAGAGAGAGAGAGAAATATTGATGTGAAAGGGACACATCTAGTGGATGCCTCCCATATGACCCCAACCAGGGTACGTGCCCTCAACTGGAATTGAACCTGCGACTCATTGGTCCACGGGCTAACACTCTAACTGCTGAGCCAAACCAGCCAGGGCTCTCTATTGATTTTTAGAGAGGAAGGAAGAGAGAGAGAGAGAGAGAGAGAGAGAGAGAGAAACATCAATGAGGAAGAACATTGATTGGCTGCCTCCTACATACCCCTACTAGGGATCAGGCCCACAACCTGGGCATGTGCCCTGACCAGGAATCAAACCAGCAATCTTTTGGTGCATGGGTCGACACTCAACCACTGAGCCACATCAGCTGGGCAATATTAAATTGTTTTGTAAGCTAATGTTTCTGCTTAGAAATATAGTAGGTACTTCTCCCATGTGAGAGCTTCCCTTCATATGGTAGTCATTTTGATTCCCACAACAGCAGTGTGCTGTGTGGGGTGTTGGGGTTTATTGCACTTAATGCCACACATAGACATTGTTATTTCCAGGGTGCCAGGACTGACTCTTGGCACTCTCTTTTTAGGCCAATGAGGTGACAGACAGCGCATACATGGGCTCCGAGAGCACCTACAGCGAGTGTGAGACCTTCACCGACGAGGACACAAGCACCCTGGTGCATCCTGAGCTGCAACCTGAAGGGGACATGGACAGTGCGGGCGGCTCGGCCATGCCCTCCGAGTGCCTGGATGCCATGGAGGAGCCTGGCCACGGTGCTCTGCTGCTGCTCCCAGGCAGGTCTGTAGTCAGTTTCAGGATATTATGCGTAAGGCACCATGTGGACTTGTCTGACGGGCAGATTGGGTTCATAGAAGGTTTGTGTCAGAGTGGTTTCCAATCATCACAGGATGTGCCAGTGAGTGTATGCCCTGCAGAATGGCCTATGCCAGCTATCCTGAGCTATCTCCTGGTCACAGCTGACTTCCTTGTCAGGAGATGTCCTACAGCTAATAGCAGATGACAGTACTATAAATGCTGCACAACTTTTGTGGCTGTAGAGGTAGAAAGTCGAGGATAAAAACTTTAACTTGGTCTTTTGTATTTTGTCATCGTAATTCTTTTTTTTCTCTTCACTCAAGGACATTTTTCCATTTTTTGTTCGGTAGAATGGGAGGGAGAGAGAGGAACAGAGAGAGAGAAACATCGATGTGAAAGGGACACATCGAGTGGCTGCCACCCGCACAACCAACCAGGGCCGGGGACAAACTGCAACCGAGGTATGTGCCCTTAGCGGGAACCAAACCCAGGTCTCTCCGGACCGCAGGCCAACACTCTAACCGCTGAGCCAAACCGGCCAGGGCTGTCATCATAATTCTTATAAACCACGCAAGATATATATTCAGTAAATGTCTTCTGTCGGGATCTTAGAACCTCATCTTTATGGCACCCCTAATCAGACCTCCTGTTTCCCCCTACTGCTCCAGGTGCCCCCATACATTTGAGAACTAGTTAGAGAAAGGGTAAGGGTAGGAGAGGTGCTCGTGACCCATGTGGACCCAAATGACAGCTTGTGGTTTTGTCTGCTGCTTGGGAAGCCACTATGCTTAGCAACATTGAAAGTGGTTGGTTTTTATTTTTAACTTTTTTTTTTTTTAAGTGGTTGGTGTGGTGGTGGTGGTATTAACTTACTTTGTTTTATTTTATTTCTTGTTTGATCCTCACAGAGTTTTTCGATTTTTTCTATTTAATTGAAGTATTATATAATGACATGCAAGTGTACCTGTCATAAGTGTGCAGACATGCCCACACCCGGGGACCCCTCCTGCTCCCTTCCAGTCATCCTGGCTTTTTTCTTTTTTAATATGTTTTTATTGATTTCTTAGAGAGAGAGGAAGGGAGAGAGAGAGAGAAACATCATTGTGAGAAACATCTATCTGCTGCCTCCTGCATGTCCCCTACTGGGGATCAAGCCCGCAACCTGGACATGTGCCCTGGTCAGGAATCGAACCGGGACCTCTAAGTCCATGGCACAACGCTCAATCCACTGAGCCATACTGGCTGGGCCATCCTGGCTTTTTTTTTAATCCTCACCTGAGGACATTTTTGCATTTATCTTCAGATAAAGCGGGAGGGAGAGAGGGAGGAAGGGAGAGAGAGAAACATCAATGTGAGAGAGACACATCGATTGGTTGCCACCCACACGACCCCATCTGGAGCCAGGGACAAACTGCAATCGAGGCATGTGCCCTTAGCGGGAACCGAACTCAAGTCTCTCTGGACTGCGGGCCGGTGCTCTAACCGCTGAGCAAAACCAGCCAGGGCTCATCCTGGCTTTTATGTTTTGTTTTATTATTTGTTTTTTGTTTTTTGTTTTTTTTTTTAATTTAATTTATTTATTTTTGTTACAGATGTTTCTCCTTTTCCCCCCACTGATACTCCCCTTCCCAACCTTCCCCACCCTGTCCCCAGCTTTGTTGTCCATGTTCATTGTTCATGCATATAAGTTCTGTGGTTTATCTCCCCCCCCACCTCCTCTTCTGGGGATTGTCAGTCTGTACCCCACTTCCATATCTCTGGGACTACCCCATTCCTCAGACTGTTCTGTTCATTATATTCCACAAATAAATGAGATCATGTGATATTTGTCTTTCTCTGCTTGGCTTGTTTCACTTAGGGTAATACTCACCAGGTCCCTCCATGTTGTCTCAAAGGATAAGAGATCTTTCTTTCTTATAGCTGCATAATACTCCATTGTGTATATGTACCACAGCTTTTTTATCCATTTGTCTACTAATGGACATTTGGGCTGTTTCCAGATCTTAGCTATTGTAAATAGTGCTGCTATGAACATGGGGGTACATATATTCTTTCTGATTGGTGTTTCAGGCTTCTTAGGGTATATTCCTAGAAGTAGGATCACTGGGTCAAATGGCCGTTCAATTTTTAAGGTAACACCATAGTGTTTTCCATAGTGGCTGCACCAGTCTGCATTCCCACCAGCAGTGTACTAGGGTCCCCTTTTCTCCGCACCCTTGCCAACATTTATTTGATGATTTGTTAATGGCGGCCATTCTGACAGGTGTGAGGTGATAACTCATTGTTGTTTTAATTTGCATCTCTCTGATGATTAGTGATGTTGAGCATTTCTTTTTTTTTTTTATTCTCACCTGAGGACACTTTTCCATATTTTTTCAGATAGAGTGGGAGGGAGAGAAAGAGAGAGAGAGAGAGAGAGAGAAACATCGATGTGAAAGGGACACATTGAGCGGTTGCCACCCGCACGACCCAACCATGGCCAGGGACAAACTGCAACCGAGGTTCATGCCCTTAGCAGGAACCAAACCCAGGTCTCTCTGGACCGCAGGCCGATGCTCTAACTGCTAATCCAAAATGGCCAGTGCTTTGAGCATTTCTTCATATGTCTCTTAGCCATTTATATGTCCCATCCTGGCTTTTTTTTATTTTTTATTTTTTATTTTTTTTTATCCTCACCCGAGGACACCCTTCCATTTTTTGTACAGATAGAGTGGGAGGGAGCGAGAGGAAGAGAGAGAGAGAAACATTGACGTGAAAGGGACACATCGAGTGGCTGCCACCCGCACAACCAACCAGGGCCGGGGACAAACTGCAACCGAGGTACGTGCCCTTAGCGGGAACCGAACCCGGGTCTCTCCAGACCGCAGGCCGATGCTCTAACCGCTGAGCCAAACCGGCCAGGGCCCATCCTGGCTTTTTAATGGCAGTATCTCTCTTTCTGGTTTTGTATCTTATATGCTATGTGATGGGATTACATGGAAGTATCTTTTACACCTGGCTTCTTTCACTTCGAATGTGGCTATGAGATTTATTCATATTTTTATGCACAGTTGTAAATCATTTACTTTCTTTCTTTCTTTATTTTTTATCCTTACCTGAGGACATTTTTCCATATTTTGTGCAGATAGTGTGGGAGGGAGAGAGAGAGAGAGAGAAACATCAATGAGAAAGGGACACATCGAGTGGTTGCCACCCACACAACCCAATCAGAGCCGGGGACAAACTGCAACCGAGGTACATGCCCTTAATGGGAACCGACCCCGGGTCTCTCTGGACTGCAGGCCGATGCTCTAACTGCTGAGCCAAACCAGTCAGGGCATTTACTTTCATTATTATTAGAGCATTCCAGTGTGTAGAATATGCTGCAGCTTTTTAATTCACTGGTGATATGCACTTGGATAGTTGACAGTTTTGGTTTTATGTAAAGCTGCTGTAAACATTACATGTCTTAGTATCTCTGGAGCCCACATGTTCAGCTTTATTTTTTGAATTTTTATTATTTTTGTTACAGATGTTTCTTTTTTTTCCCCCATTGACACCCTCTTCCCGATCCCTCCACCCCACCACCAGCATTGTTGTCTATGTCCATTGGTTACTCATACATGCATATAAGTTCTTTGGTTTATCTCTTCTCTCCCAAAGCTTTAGAAGTTACTTCATTTACTGATGGTTACAGTCAGGGCTTATAGCAGTTACATGCCTGCCGGTACTGTGGGTCCTGGTTGCTCCCCATCCTCGGCAGCACCTGGCACTGTCTGCTTTTTTCATGTTTGTTTTCTGGAGGGCATGTAGTAGAATGTTGGTGTGGGCTAGTTCTCACTAGCATCCCAAGTATCTCATGAGGGTGAACACCTTCTGTGTCTTTTCTTGCCTTTATTGCCCATTTGGAGATCCCCTTTTGTGAAGTTGCTGTTTATGTCTATTACCCATTTTATAAACATTTTCTGTAAAAGGCCAAATAATAAAACTTATTTTGGCTTGCAGGCCATGTGGTCTTGCAGGCCGTTGTTCAGCTCTGCTGTTGAAGTGCAAAGCGGCACATAGGTGGGTGGAATTTGGCTTCTCAATGTCTGTTGGTCCTGGAGTTTTATTACTAATTTCTAAGTGTTCTTTATGTATTTCAGATGAGTCCCTTATCCTGTATGTGGATTGCAGATATCTTTTTTGTTTGTTTGTTTAATAAGGAAATTTATTTAGAAAGTCACAGAGGTAGAAGTGAGTTGTAGAAGAAATGGGCTCAGGAAACAAGTTACAGCAGAAGAAGGGCCCTTGGAGCTTAGTGGAGAGAGAAAGAGAGACAGACAGACAGACAGACTTTGAGAAGAAAGACAGAAGAGAGGTTTGGCCTGGGTGTGCTGTTGGAAGAGGAGAGAGAAGAGCTCACCCTCGGGAAAGAGGCGGGTAGGGAAAGGCACTTCTTAGAGCCTCACAGATATCTTTTTACTCTGTAGGTTGCCTTTTCAGTTTCCTGGTGGTGTCTTTGAAGAACAGATGTGTTTTTAATTGTACTATATAGTCCAGTTTATCTGTTTTTGTTTTGTGGTTAGCACTTCTGTGTTTTGAGAAATTTTCCTTACCTCCACATCACTATAATGTTTACTTCTGCTTTTCTTTAAAAGTCTATTGTTTTGCCCTGGCCAGTTTGGCTCAGTGGTTAGAGCGTCGGCCTGCGGTCCAGAGAGACCTGGGTTTGGATCCTGCTAAGGGCACGTACCTCGGCTGCAGTTTGTCCCCAGCTCTGGTTGGGTCATGTGGTGGCAGCCACTCGATGTGTACCTTTCATGTTGATATTTCTCTCAATCTCTTCGTCTTTCTCCCTCCCACTCTATCTGAATAAAAAGTGGAAAAATGTCCTCAGGTGAGATTAAAAAAAAAAAATTTAATAAAAAATAAAATAAAATAAAATAAAAGTCTATTGTTTTGCTTTTGTATTCGGATCTGTTACCTCTTTTGTGTATGGTATGAGGTAGGAATAATTTTTTCCATAGTGATATCCAGTAGACTCAGCTTAGTTTTTATTTTGTAAATACGTTTTTATTGATTCTTTTAGAAAGAGTGGAAGGGAGAGGGAGAGGGAGAGATAGAAACATCAATGAGAGAGAGACAACATTGATCAGCTGCCTCCTGCACGCCCCCTGCTGGGCATTGAGCCCACAACCTGGGCATGTGCCTTGACCAGGAATTGAACTGGGACCTCTCAGTCCATGGGAGGACACTTAATCCAGTGAGCCATACTGGTTGGGCGACTCAGACTTATTTTGAAAACATTCCTCCTTCTACCTCTCCAGGTGTCACCTCGGTCCCATGAGGTGTCTACTAGAACATCTGAACTCACACACATGTGACTCGCAGCATTTCTGCTGGAAAGCGCTCGTCACATCCTTAGTTCTGCAGCTGCTCATGGCCCTGAGTCTGAGTGTGTCTTTTCTGTTTTGCCTTTTCAGATCCCACCTGCACAACCAGTCTGTCGTCACGGTGATAGGTGACGAGGAGCATTTTGAGGATTATGGTGAGGGCTGTGAGGCAGAACTATCCCCAGAGACCCTCTGCAGTGGGGAGCACAGCTGCAGAGACCCTGCTTTTCTCACTCCCAGGTAATGTATCCCTGCACTTGTGTGCGTGTCCTGCCGTATTTCCCCGTAGTTGTGGGGAAATTTCCCCTTTGGTTCCTAGATTGGTAAGAGAGAACTTGTTTTATCCTCTGTAATATAACTAACATACACAGCCAAAATCTTAAGATTTATGCCTTGGTGAAAGTTAGCTGAAGTTTTTCTCATCCAGTTATATTCCCAGATCGCTCCACATTGATGAGGCCTCAGCTGAACCATGTGGCACAGAGCCTGTGTTGGTATACTCAGCTTTGTGGGTTCCATAGCCCATAGTTGTGATCTCATTATGGTTAGTAGCTGGCTTTGAGGGAAGCTATATGTATGTGTATGTCTGTATATGAGAACATTTAAGTTCTGCTATCTTAGCAAATTTTATTTATACAACATGATATTATTAACTATAGTTGTAGCTGAATATCTGTATCCTTTGACCAGCCTCCAAGGGAGCCTTTAACATCACAAACAGTTCTATGGATTCATTTTCTTGTAATTATCTGACATCCCCAAACTATCTAGAAAGTTCTGGCTTTGCACTGTGATATCTAAAGGGCTAGATCCTCACTTATAAAGCTGGTTACTCCCCAGCTGTCCTTCCTCACAGGAGGCACTGGGAGAAAGCTGGCACTAGTATCCAAACAAGGGGCCTAAGGGTGCTTTGTCCTGTGGGCCTGGCAGCCTTTCACTGGTGGCCTGCCCATCAGAGAGCATGCCTTCTCTCAGTCCACTGAGCCACACGTACTAGGCTTCATGCCTTCTCTTCATTCAGGTGAGATCCTTGCCTCGCTCAACAGCCTGTACTTCAGCCACCTCTCTCATTTGCACCCGTTTTTTAAAATTCTTCATCTTTGCTGATAGCAAAGGCCAAGTATCTTGAAACTGGCATCTGCGAAATTCTTCCTTTGCCCAGACTGTTACCCAGGCCTAGAAAACCTGGATAAGGGCCAGTACCAGGAGGGTCTGCCTATGGGGTCCTTGCTTTTTCCATGTGTCATCCCCTAAGCTGCCCACCAGCGTGGGGTGAGGAGCCCGTCAAAGGTATTTCTAGAAGTGCTAGTGAGTAAGCAGTAGCTTTCTCTCTGTAGGTTTCCTCTTCCCATACAAACGCACACTTGCAGTGGTGTTGAGATCATTGGTAAGTGTACGTTTCTGTTTTGGTAATCTCTTCCTGTTGTTTAGTTTGTTTCTTGTCCAGTGTTCCACTGTTTTTAGTCTTAAGTATGACTTCTATGCTACAATTGATATTTCCCTTTAACCTTTCTTCAAATTAAACTTCCAAATTGGCCTGTATTTATTTATTTTTATTCCTCACCCAAGGATATGTTTATTGATATAAGAGCAAGAGAGAGAGAAACATCAATGTGAGAGAGAAACATTGATTGGTTTCCTCCCATATGCACCCAGACCAGGGATTGAACCTGCAACCCTTTTGGTGTATAGGACAACGCTCCAACCAACTTAGCCACCCAGCCAAACCTCAAATTGGCTTTTAAGAGCCTGTGGGTCCTCATGCCCCGTGGACATTGCTGCCTTCTGGCTAACAGAATTCTGACTTATTTATTGTTGTTAATCCTCATCCAAGGATATTTTTCCATTGATTTTTAGATAGAGTTGAAGGGAGGGTAGAAAAGAAAGAGAGAGAGAGAGAAAATGAAAGATCCATGTGAGAAAGACACATTGATTGGTTGCCTCCTGCACAAGCCCCACTGGATCCGGGGATCAAACCTGCAACCTAAGTATAAGCCCTTGACCAGGAATGGAACCCGAAACCCTTCATTCCTCAGGCTGACGCTCTAACGACTGAGCCAAACTGGCCAGGCCAGAATTCTAACTTTTTAACAAAGGTCTTAAAAATTAATAGAATTAGCCCTGGCTGATTTGGCTTGGTGGTTAGAGTGTCGGTCTGCGGACCAGTGAGTCTCAGGTTCGATTCCGGTCAAGGGCACGTACCTTGGTTGCGGTTCGTCCCCGGCCCTGGTCAGGGTTGTGCAGGAGGCAACCAGTTGATGTGGCTCAATCACATTGATCTTTCTCTCTGTCTCTCTCTCCCGCCGCTCCCACTCTATCTGATAATACATAGAGAAATATCCTCGGATGAGGAATAAAAAAAAAATAATAGAATTAGCCCAGCTTGTGTGGCTCATTGGTTGAGCGTCAACCCATGCACCAACAGGTCTCTGGTTTGATTCCTGGTTAGGGCACATGCCCAGGTTGTGGGCCATATCCCCAGTGAGGGGCATGCAGGAGGCAGCCAATCAATGTTCTCTCTCATTGATGTTTCTTTCTCTCTCTAAAAAAATCTATAAAAAAAAGTAGAGATTTACTGGTAATTCATAATTCATGTGTAGTCTTTGATATTCGTGGTTTTTAGAGCAGTTGTTAAAGCATTTATAGTATAATGAGTAAAATTCCTCCTGGAGACATGCTTTGCTCTTACACTGACGGATGTTTAACAAAGCAGGAAGCAGTGTGTTCAGGCACTTTCTTTTTTTTTATTTTTTCTTTATTGATTTTTTTAGAGAGAGAGGAAGGGAGAGGGAGAGAGAGCTAGAAACATCGATGAAAAAGAACATCGATTGGCCACCTCCTGCATGCCTCCCACTGGGGATTTGGCCCACAACCTGGGCACGTGCCCTGACCGGGATTTGAACTGGGTCGACGCTAAACCACTGATCCGCACCGGCTGGGCAAGGCGTTTACTTTTTATTAAGGGTAGCTGATGGCCTACTTTGTTTCCTCTAAGCCCTTGACCAGGAAGGAGCAGGTGTGTGGCTGAGCCTCCTGTGGCTTGAGCTGGTGTGTGCCATGGTTGTAGGTGACGTTGAGGGAGGTGGGTTTACATTAGATTGAAAGAGTCAGAATCTCCCACAGCCAGTTACCTGACAAGATGCTTTTGCCTGGCCAACTCTAGCCCTGTGCAGAGTCAGGGGTAACCTGATCAATTCTTGCTGTCTTCTGAACTGACACTTTTGTCTCTCTAGCGCCGACCCGCTTGCCGCAAAGCTACACAGCATCCTCACTGATGAGGCCTTTGAGTTTTACTGTAGCCAGTGCCATAAACAAATCAACCGCCTAGAGGATCTTTCTGCTCGTCTGAGTGATCTTGAAAAGAATAGGTAACTGGTGTAGTGCCTGGCCTTGCTCTGTGTTCAAGGGTGAGGGGGACTCTTGTCCACATCTGCCCCTGGCTGGTCTGGCCCCAGGTGCCACTCACTTGGGCTAGTCAACCTGGGGGGACTCCCTCTGGAAGCTGAGCCTAAATTGTGGTTTGAAGGTGAGCGTGCAGACACAGGACTCTTCCCTGGCCCTGCCCCACCCTCCCTGCATGCATCGAGCCTGTGTTTGATGTTCTTCACCCTACTTGCTCCTGTGTGCATGCCCTAGTCTATCAGCTGCTTCTGTCTCTGCAGGAGGAGACAGTCTTTAGATGCTATGTAACCTGCATGTGGAAATCCAGCATGTGAAAGTCTGTGCTTAGAAAGAGATACTTTCTTCATTTTACTAAAAGATTTCTTTAATTGGGAGTTAAATGAAACAGCATGGGAAATTTAAAGTAAGATTTGGTCTTAAAAACAGATTTGCAACCAGCTTTCAGGAATGTTGGTTTAAATTAGGTCTGCATTCTCTAGGTGAGTCCCTCCCCTGAACTTACTTTTGTAAGGCTGCCTCAGACTCTATTACAAGAAGAATCCAGCTTTGCTACCCTGATTTTAAAATAGGCAGTCAGGACCCCAGCACGTACTGCTGCTTTCTACCCTCATCATTCCATTCTCTCTCCTCCATCTACTGAGTCCAGTTTGTAATTAGACCATTTGCTTCTCTTTCCATCCTGATACCCAATCCCTCCTCAGGTCAGAGTTCCAGGAGGAGACAGTTCCTTTTTCTTGGCTCCTCACAACTTCAGAAGATCTAGTTATAGAAAATAATTTTGGATAGTTTGCATATATTGACATGCCCATTAAGCATATTGTTGATTTAGCTGGTCATATGAGCAAATCCCTGGATGGGCCTCTTGGTACATGCTAATCAGTGCTGTGGGCTCCCAGGCAACAATCCAGGGAGGCTTCCTAGAAGAAGGCGTCTCAGACTGGTGGGAGGTTTCATAAAAGGTGGCAGAAATGTGAACCATCCTGCTGGTTTCAGTGTGTTTAGAGTAGTCTTCTAAAAACCACTTATGTATCTTTTTTTCTTTTTTTTCCCCTTTATTTATTTTTAGAGGGAGAGGGAGAGAGAGATAGAAACCGATGAGAGAGAACATCGATTGGCCGCCTCCAGGATACCCTACACTGGGGATTAGGCCCACAACCTGGTCATGTGCCCTGACCGGGAATCGAACCAGCAACCTCTTGGTGCATGGGTCGATGCTCAACCACTGAGCCACTCCGGGTGGGCCCACTTACATATCTTGAGGAGCCTGCCCCTTTAGGGCCTTGGCCAAGGCCAGCTTAGTCTTTCCAGTGGGTCCTCATGACCTTGGCTCGGCTGTTCTGCCTCTAGTTCCAATTCCAGTGCATTTAATGTCTTTGACACTTTTTCTTGTACTCTGTGCAACACTCACAACACAGGCTGGAGTCCAGCAAATGCCCAGTTAGGTAGAGACGACATGATGGGATCCCAGCATGTGTCCCATTGGCAGCTTCAGAGGGGATCCTGGTGGGGTCCCAGCAGCACTGATGAGAAATTGGAAGTGCTCTTTGAGGTGGATCTTCCAGGGACACTTGAGATAATGTGGTGTCTGATGATTCCAAAGATCCACTTGCCTCTGTTTTTTTACCTCTTATGTAATTTTACCTGAGTGCTCTGGTGAAAGGTCATTTATCCTTTCCATGTGAAGACTTGCCTTCCTGCTAAGTATGTTCCAGTGCAGGTATGTCATCTCTCACTCTCTGAAGATTTTTGACATAAAAATGATCTTTTCCCATGTGGAGAATCTGTCCCAGGACTGCTGTGGTCACCTCTGCTAGGCTTTGTGGGGCAGATAACAGACTGGGACATGGCTGAATACAGCTAGCAAGTCCAATGGGGTCTTACTTCCAGTTTCAGCCACCCATTTCCTAAGAAAGACTACCAAGGTTGGTTAATATACCATTAAAATTATTAATATGGCCCTGGCCGGTTTGGCTCAGCGGTTAGAGCGTTGACCTGCGGTCCTGAGAGACCCGGGTTTGGTTCCCGCTAAGGGCGCATACCTCGGTTGCAGTTTGTCCTCGGCCCTGGTCGGTTGTGCGGGTGGCAGCCACTCGATGTGTTCCTTTCACATCGATGTTTCTCTCTCTCTCTCTGTTCCTCTCTCTCCCTCCCACTCTACCTGAACAAAAAATGGGAAAGTGTCCTCGGGTGAGGATTAAAAAAAAAAATTATTAATATGATCAAGACACAACTGTCAGTCATTTCCCCCTAAACACTCAGTTGAAGAGATCTGAGTCTTGCCTGTTGGTTTCCATGGAATTGCCTCAAAATAAATGTACTTGGTCGTGGTTTGTGGAAGATGAAAGGATTTAGTCCAAACTGTATCTGGAAGTTTGACATCAGATAAAATTCCTACTAAGTGAGCTTCAGAAGATGCTGATAGCTATCATATTTTCCAGGTACCTGGGAGCCTCTGTAAAAACAATTCGTTTGCCCTGGCCGGTTTGGCTCAGCGGTTAGAGCGTCGGTCTGCGGTCCAGAGAGACCCGGGTTCAGTTCCCGCTAAGGGCACGTATCTCAGTTGCAGTTTGTCCCCGGCCCTGGATGGGTCGTGCGGGTGGCAGCCACTTGATGTGTTCCTTTCGCGTTGATGTTTCTCTATCTCTCTTCCTCTCTCTCCTTCCCACTCTATCTGAACAAAAAATGGAAAAATGTCCTCTGGTGAGGATTAAAAAATAATGATAATAAAACCAATTAATTAATTTTGTAGGAATTTTGTAGATGTCTGCTTTACCCAGAGGTATATTTTCAGATTATAAACCCTGTCACTGGACTGCCAATCTACTCCGAGAGGTCGGCTAGGAAGACTGAACAGTGAGTCTGTCATACCCTATTAGTTTCAGGGAGTCTTGGTAACATTAGGATGAAATTAAATTTGTGTTAAAATACACACTATCAGGTCCATTCAGGAGAGAGAGCTACACAGTAATTTGAACAGGGTAAGTTTAATAAAAAGAATGACTAAAACAAAGAGTCAGCTAGTAAGAGTAGAGAGAACTTGGAAGAATGCAGGAATAGCATCTGTAGAGAGCAGCCAGCCTATTCAGAGCTAAGATCTGACCCTGCTGCAGAGAGTGTAGCCGTGGTAAACTGGGTGGCAGATATGTCACTGTAGTGCTTCACAGAGGGTGTTGAGCTATGACGGGTGGGGACACGACTGTGTGAGAGTCTACCTTCTAGATCTTGCTGGAAATCTCTCTCTGGCTGCCAGGAAAGCTGTTTGTTGGGAGGAGTTTCATCAGAGGTACTTTGATACAAAACTGCTGTAGAATGTGAAAAGGGAAGTTGCTGGGCACTGGGTGCTGCTGGGCGCTGGCACTGGGGAAGCTGCCCATGTAGGATTTTGGAGTGTGAAGTATTAGTGCCTAAGTTAAAACCAATGACAATACTTTGCTGTTATAAACAGGTCCGTGTCATGTTTCATATGGGAGCCAACCGTTTGGAGATTAAGTTGGCTTCAAAATCATTTGGGATGTGGCATTGGCCAGTGGCTTGAACTCAGTGCAACCAGCTGGAGGGTCCAGGCACTGGGGTCAGCCTCTGAACTGAGGTCTGATTGTAACTCTTATACATTTCTTTGGGGTATGGATTAATAATGGCTTTCTGAGACCTTGATAAGCCCCTGAGATTGCTCCCATGTTCCTGAATGTTTTGCTGAATAGGCCTTCTATGCATGGAGCTGGCCGTGTGAGCAGGGTGCTGCATGCCTGTGGACGCACCCCCATCCCCATATCTCTTCAGCCCGAATTTCCTGTTTCCTCCCATTCCTCCCTGTCTGTTCTCTGACACGATTTTCCTGTTTATTTTGATTTTGCACAGTCCAACGAAACGGCTCTCCAGCAAGAAGGTGGCAAGGTAGGAAACCATTGATTGTTTATTGAGATGTATCATTCATTATAGCTCTTTTAAAAGCCGTGTCTAGAAAATATTATTTTCCAAGGTATTTTTTTTTAACTTTTGAAAGTTGCTTCTCAAGGTTTGGGATCTAAAACAATTCGAGGGGATTGGGACCTGAATTTGTGACTGGGAAGTTTATGTTGCAAGTTTTGGACATCCCTCCTGTTTTATTGAATATTCACCACAAGGCCTAAAGGGAGTCCATATCCCTACATCTCTGCTGTAGGTTGACCACTGATAGAGTCCATAAGGGGCCTGATCTCACAGAGCCGGAATGTGATAGAGTCCAGGTCTGGGTCTGCCTCCTTCAAAGGCTGTGTCTTTCTCACCCCAACTGGTTCCCCAAGGTTAGGAGAAGAGAAAGGAGATGTGCCTAATTCTGGATTTCTAAAGAACATGCTTTTGTGACTATTTCTCTATTTTTCAGTTTTAGAGACTATTTATTGGCTTCCTACAGTGAAAGATGGCAGCACCTACATTTATTCTCTTCCCTGCTGTGCTAGTTCTAAAAACAATTTTCAGAGTTTATAAGATGCCACGTTCTTCACAGGAAGTCATGTAACATGTTACTGTATATCCTATTTAAGACAAGTCTTTGTTTTTCCTGGAGGCAGTGATTGTCTTCATGTTTTTATTTGCTTCATCTTTTATTTTTATTGTTGACACTATTACAGATGTCCCCATTTTCCCACCCTTTGCCCACCTCCACCCAGCTCTTGTTTCATCTTCTGTGCTACTCTTGCCTTCTCTGCTGACAGGGCCACAAGGCAGCACTCTGCCTATCTGGGCATTTCTTCTCAGAGCCTCTGCCCTTTGCACAGGTATGTGCAGGCTGCATTGCTGTGGTCCTATTTCCCCCATACATTGTACAATCCAGATATTTGTTTCAGGTATTGGATCATGACACTCCCTCATATTCTGTCTTCCTTTATTTTATCTCTATTTTTCTGTCCAACAAATATTCCTGTAGCTTGTTGAAAATAGAGGTACCCAGGAAATAAATTTTAAGACCTTGCTAGATAGTTTACTCTTATAGTTTGACTTGGTATGGAAGTCTGGATTGTAAATAATTTCCCTTTAGAGTTTTCAAAGGTATTGTTCACTATCTTCTAGTACCAGGTCTGCTACAGAGAGGTCTAATGCTTTCTAATTTTTCTTTGTGAACATTTTTCCTCTCTGGAAGATTATAAGATGTTTCCTTATCCTGGTAGTTCAGAAATTTTGTGATCAGTCTTGTGAGTTCTGATTCCCATTAAATGTGCTGGGCTGAATGAAAAATGTGCTATTTCAATCTAGAAGCTTCTGTTCCTTAGTTCTTGGGAACGTCATTGGCCTGTTTCATTGACGTTGTCCTCTGTCCCACTTTTTGCTCCTTCTGGTACTCCTGCTTATGGCTCTGCATGCCTTCATCCTTGCTGCCTCTATGCCTCTCTGTGCTCTGACTTTGTCGCCTGTGATGCATCTGCTGCCAGCTCTTCCTCCCCATTTCTTCCTTAAGTTCTCATCTGGGCTTCGTCCTTCTTGTTAGAGGTCTCTTTCAAACAACTGGAGGTACACTCTGTGTGTATTGGAGTGGTTGCGCAGAGCTGGCAGGTGGCCTCTGACCAACATGTAGTGTAGACAGGCCCCTGTGTCAGCAGGTCTTTTCTCCAGCCACGCTGGCTGATTTTTCCAGAGTGAGTCCTGCCTGGCTGCCGGCATTCAGAGAACTGTGCTGGGTCCACCATTTAGTTTGTAGACTGTGGGTGCATTCCATGTGTCCTGAGTCCAGGGCTCCTCCTGGTCTAGGAGAGTCCTTTCTAAGGGTGTGGTTGCCACCCCTCCCACCCTCTGTGCTCATCTCTGCTGCCCCGTTCTCAGGTGCCAGTCCTTCCTGGGTTCTCCAGAGGAAGCCCGCTGGTCTTCAGAGTCTCACTGGCTGGCTGCGGCCCTCCTACCCCTGCTGTCCAGTCCCATTGCCCTGGACATCTCTTTCTTGGTGCCATTTCCTTTTCTGCTCTCCTTGTTCTTGGGGATGTAAACATTTTTCCCCTATCGTCCTTAGGGCTTAGGATCCAGACAAAGCATGGCTGAATGTTACCAACTCACCTTTTCCACTTGTTTTCTCACATCACCCCTTTCATTAAAGTATCCAAGTTCTTAGGGATATAATATTAATTCCAAACCCCACTTTATTATAGTTTCAGCATTACTTTCTGTCTTACTTTCATATTTTACCCCAAATAGGCTACAGCTGGTGAAACTAAGGAAGGTAAAAATCTAGCTGAGTCATCTTCTCTCAACCTCCCACATCTGGGACACTGAGCGACCTTGGAGTTGTTGAGACCCAAGCTGCTTCAGCTTTTGGGCTTTTTGTCTGCTTTACGCCCTCTGAAACACCCTCTGAAAACTTGATTTTTCCTTCACAGATACCCTTTGGTAAAGAAAAGCCCAATCTGCAGGTATATGCGAATAGAGCTTATGAACAGAGGCATATTTTTCGGTCTGTACATATATACCATGTAGATGCTCTTTCAATCTGCTGTTATTTTGCCCTTAACACCAACACCAGAGTTCTATTTTTTTTTTTTTTAATCCTCACCCGAGGATATTTTTCCATTTTTTGTACAGATAGAGTGGGAGGGAGAGAGAGGAAGGGAGAGAGAGAGAAACATCGACGTGAAGGGACACATCGAGTGGCTGCCACCCGCGCAACCAACCAGGGCCGGGGACAAACTGCAACCGAAGTACGTGCCCTTAGCGGGAACCGAACCCGGGTCTCTCAGGACCGCAGGCCGACGCTCTAACCGCTGAGCCAAACTGGCCAGGGCCAGAGTTCTAAATAAATGAAAAATAACTTGTGATTTCACACTTCATAATATTTCAGCCCTTTGCAAGTGGCCATGTGGCTGGAGTATGGGTTTTAGAGCCACCAGCTCTGGCCTCTGTGACCTGACTGTGTGCCTAACCTGGATAGAAATGTCTCTGGGGGTCTGTGCATGTGAGGACTCCAAGACACCGGCACATCGCCAGCCTCTGGACCAGAGGGAGCGCCAGTGGGACTGCCACAGCAGAAAGCAGGTCTCGGTCAGATGACCGAGTATTCTGCAACTGGTGGTTTACCTGCTGCCCTTTGGGATGATCAGGCATTTCCCACAGTCCCCTCTCCTGGTAGGCCTCCTGCGTGTGTGGGGGCGGGGGGTAAATAAACAAGACCCTCACCCACAGTGCCAAGAAACCTTGGCCTTTCCCTGGGGCAACCACCTGCTGGGACCACACTCTGGGTGCTTGAGTGTGACTTCAGGTTCAGCTATTCAGAAGTACTCTGAGCCCCTAGTAGGAGCTCAGGATTGGGTGACAGGCCCTACACCATAGCCCCTCCTCAGCATGGTCTCTAGGTCTGGGGTGGGCAGCTTCCTATCTTAGGATTGGCATTAGGAGCTTGTGTTTGGAGTCAAGGTCGTGGGTATTTGAGAACATCTACTGGACAAGAAAGTGATGGCCCTGCCCTTAAAGTTCAGTGCCCTTTTAGGGAATCAGATGAAATCTAAAAAAGGTGCTCATATGTCTTACGCAGGGCACATTCAAGGGACTCATGGTCCCTAGAGGTGAAGATGCCCTTCTTTTTTGTTCCTCTTCGAACATTTCTGGAGTAAAAAAATTTTTTTTCTTTTTAAATCCTCACTCGAGGATATTTTTCAATTTATTTTCAGACATAGGTGGGGGGAGGGGGAGAAAGAAACATCGATATGAGAGACACATTGGTTGGTTGCCTCCTGCACAACCCTGACCAGGGCCGGGGACCGAACAGCAACCAAGGTGTGTGCCCTTGACTGAACTCGAACCTGAGACTCTTTGGTCCGCAAGCCAACGCCCTAACCACTGGGCCAAATCGGCCAGGGCAAAAATTTTTAGGAAATGTACAAACTAGGTCAGCATTAAAAAGAAATGGGACGCCCTGGCCGGTTTGGCTCAGCAGTTAGAGCGTCCACCTGTGGTCCGGAGAGACCCGGGTTCGGTTCCCGCTAAGGGCATGTACCTCGGTTGCAGTTTGTCCCCGGCCCTGGTTGGTCGTACGGGTGGCAGCCACTTGATGTGTCCCTTTCACATCGATGTTTCTCTCTCTCTCTCTTCCTCTCTCTCCCTCCCACTCTGTCTGTACAAAAAATGGAAAAATGTCCTCGAATGAGGATTAAAAAAAAAAAAAAGAAAGAAATGGGACTTGATACCTTTTATAAAGATAATGTAGAAATTTCAATGTGATTTTTAATAGCATTTCTTTTTTCTTTAATGATTTTAGAGAGAGAGGAAGAGAGAGATTGATAGAAACCTTGATGAGAGAGAACATCAATTGGCCACCTCCTGCATGCTCCCCCCTCAGGATCGGGCCCACAACCTGGACAGATGCCCTGACCAGGAATTGAACCAGCAACCTCTTGGTGCATGGGTCGACGCTCAACATCGGCTGGGCTTTAATAGCATTTTGCTGAATTTTACCCTGTCCTATGTCCCTAGCAGAGCTGTTTATATATCAAAAACCTCATTTAAACCCCATAATAGCCTACAGATCTCCATTTTATAGGCGAGTAAGAGGGTTAGTGGCTTTCTCAAGGTCACACAGCTCTGAGTATCAGGCTGTCAACTCAAAGCCTGGATCAGTATATGCAGATTGTCCAACTGCTGTGAGTTTTACATGCTCTAAGTAAATTACAGCTGATATAGTGTCACCACAACTAACAAGATCGTCTCTAGGGTGACTTTGAACATGTATTTGCTGAGTACCTGCTAAGATACCAATGGCTAAGGAATGAAGAAGGAGCTTCCTTCAGGGTTTTTCACAGGACAGCCAGGGCTAGTGCTCACCAATGCCCTAGGTACATGCCACCCAACGTGGCCCACATGGTGGGAGACCTGTGTCCACTGGTGCCAGATGCTTGGAGCTGCTCTGGCAGAGGACAGTCACGCCTGTGTGCCTTTCCGAGTGAGACACCCCTGGTCTCTGACTGTTGCTGCCATTGGGAGTACATTTGAAAAATTAAATATCACCCTGGCCAGTTTGACTCAGTGATTAGAGCATCGACCTGTGCACCAGAGTCATGGGTTCGATTTTGGTCAAGGGCATGTGTCTTGGTTATGGTTTGATCCCCGGCCCTGGTTGGGGTCGTGGGAGGCAACCAGTCGATGTGTCTCTCGTATATCGATGTCTCTTTCTCTCTCTCTTTTACCACACCCCATCTGAAAATCAATGGAAAAATATCCTCGGGTGAGGATTAATAAAAATAAAAAAAATCAGCCCCAGCCAGTTTGGCTCAGCAGTTGAGCATCGGCCTGTGGACCAGAGAGTCCTGGGTTCGGTTCCTGCTAGGGGCACGTACCACAAAAAAAACAACAACCCAAATATCAAGATGTATGTAGGTGACATTGTGTACAGAAGTCATGATCCTGAATTAATATTTCACGGGCCTACAGTGGAAGATGAGATTATGTCGTATCACAGGGAGGAACGGCGTCGTGTTTTATTACCCAAGTACAAAGTACCCTTGCCCCATCAGCTGGTAGGGAAGAAGGCTGGGCTTATCAGGCTCCAAAGAGCAGCAGAAGACTCGGCAGACACAGAGTGCAGCCAACTTACCCCAGCCCCTCGGTAATAGCGTCCTGCCTAGAACTCCCTTTGGTGGAGACCAGGGCCCCAGGCTGCTGGGTTTTGCTTTTCAGACTGACCTGGAAATGCTTATGTTTGAAGAATTTGTATTTGGCTCTCCCCTCTTTTCTCTCTTCGTTCTGCTGAAGGACCTTTTCTGGACTGGCCTGTTGTTTCTTCTCCACAGGCACCTGCATCAGTCAGGGGCCCTGACCATGGAGGCCCTGCAGGACCCCCCCCCAGACCCCGTGGAGGGCATGGAAGAGGACATTGCGGACAAGGTAGGCCCTGGATGGGCAGGGGGACCAGAGGACCATGCGTGGATAACAAGGCCCCAGTCCCAGGACTTGTGCTGGGTGCTATGGCCTTGAGCTGTTGGGCCCACGTTGGGATGTGTTGGTTAAGGTGCATTTGAGGCACCAAGCCTCATCCTGGCAAGCAGGTAGAGCACAGCGGGAGTTGGTGATGGTACCATAAGGACTAATTAGATCTTCCGCCAGCCCTGTAGTTCTCCAGCATTTCACATACAAGGAAGAGGGAACTGAAAGGACAAGAACAGAAGAGTGAGCAGCAGTGGCTATCAGCCCATATTTGTATGTGCTCAGATCAGGTGCACAGACACTCAGAAACTGAGCTCACCAGGGCCCATGGAGGCAGGATCTGGAGGCGCTGAGGTTTTGGGGAGGAGGGTACTCGGCCTGTAGTGATGGCAGAACCAAATACTGTGTGGAACGGGCTATTTCCTGAGAGAAGCCTGGTGAATGGGTTATGTAGGGCCGGGCCAGACAGCAATTTGTGGTAACAACCCACACTTCTCGAGGACCAGCTCCAGAAGAGGGAAAGAGGAAAGTGGCAGCACATACCCCTTATCTCTTTCTGTCCCCCATCATCTCCTTCTGTACCTCTCACCCCATCTTGTCCTCTCTCACCTCCTTCTGTCCCCCCTCACCTCCTTCTGTCTTCCCTCACCTCCTTCTGTACCTCTTACCCCATCCTGTCCCCCTCACCTCCACCTGTTTCCCCTCATGTCCTCTCTACAGCGCCTCTAATATCTGCTTTGCAGGCCCTCACTCCTCTTACCACCTATATAAGCATCAGTCTCCCATCTAATTAGTGAGCTCTCTGAGGAGGGAGGGACCAAACCCTGTGGCCTTTCTATTCCTTGAGTCCCACAGCATGTGCTGTCCCCATGGGGGTCCCATAGCCTGGCTATCCCACAAACCATCACAGATTCATCACAAAGACGCTGTCAGGCCTCTCCAGGCCCCCTGCTGACATCTGTACTTGTGGTTTTGAGGCCATGGAGTGTCCCCCACTCATATTGATGCCTGCAGAGGCCACACTTCCTTTTTCATGGTGATAGTCTTCATGAACAAAATAGACCCAACTCCAGCCAAGTGAACACTGTCTTGCTCCCAAGGTTGTCTTCTTGGAGAAGCGGGTGTCAGAGCTGGAGAAGGACACTGCTGCCAATGGGGAGCAACACAGCCGACTGAGGCAGGAAAATCTCCAGCTGGTGCACAGGTGAGCGTGGCGTAGCAAGAGCAGGAGCGTGGCTGCTGCGCAGAGCTTGGCTCTCACCTGGAGCTGGCCTCCATCCTGCTGGGAGCCAGCCCAGGGGAGGGTGCTGGGTTGCCTTTTGAGCATGGCTCCAACTTAGTACTGTCTCCAGCCCATTTAGGGCCTCAGAGGAAAGCAAGGAGAGGGCACCGTCTCACCCCTCACTCAGGAGCAGCTGAGGCCAGCTCCCACACTGCCTGCACAGCGTGCCTAGTGGAGGGAGGCCTGACCTCAGGGGCAGCAGAAGCTACATGGCGAGAGGAAGTGTACTGGAATTCTCCTGTGAAGCTTCTGGCTAGTGTCCTTGATTCTGAGAGCCCATCCAAAGGAAATAGTGCTGACCACAGGCCTTCATTCCCGGACATGGGCTCCTTGGCTTGGACAGTTGCTGTGCTTTGCTTACTTCTCTGTTTCATCTTTATGATCCCTGTGAAGCAGATGCTACCATCCCCATTTCACAGATGAGGAAACCAAGGCTCAGGGAGATTACATGATTGCCCAGGGCCTCAGACAGCAAGTGGGGCTAGTACCTTCAGAGCCCCCTGCAGAGGAAGCATGGTCTGTCCTTGGGAATTACAGGTCCTCACAGGATCTTAGCCACAGAAACAAGAAACAAGTGGTAACCTCTAGGTACACAGTGGGATGCGCAGCCTCTTCTGATAATGAGAGAGCACTGAGGAAGTAACAGAAGTGTGAAATGATGAGTTAACTGCTGTGTTTGCATGGAGGAAGTGGGGGCTACTTCCCCACTCCTGATTTGTATGCTTTCTATAGAATACTGTGTGAGTTTTGGTGTTTTGAAACTAATTGTTCAGTGTAACCTCTTGCTGTTTGAAGCAGTATGCTTCTTGTGCAGAACACAAGGAGCTTGGCCCAGAAGCCTCGGCTGCCTGTGCTGCCTTAGTGCATCTGGTGCTGTGGTGGCGAGGCAGTGGGGAGTCCTGGGGGCTTGAGAGGTGGGAGGCATAGTGTATGTGGATCTACACAAGAGGTCTGCCCATGCCAGGCTGCATAAACCAAAACCGGGCTCTGCCACACATTCTGTGACCTCAAGCAAGAAGAGCCCTGTCCTTGAAGCCTCGGTTTCTGCACCCATGACCTGAACAAGTGGACTCCGAGTGCTCTTAATAGCATGGGACGCAGCCCTACACACACTCTCCTGGCATTTGCATTATAGGCATTGGGGCTGTGCTTAGTTTCTGTTGTGATGTTTTCATCCTGGGTGCTACTGACCACATCACTTCAACAAAGTTAAACAAGTTATCTTGTACAGTCGAGACTCTGCTCTTAGGGTTCTGCCCCAGGTCCTGCTGCAGCCAGGGTAGGGTCTGCCACATTTGTGGAAGGGTTTGGGTTGCAGTGCTGTACTAAGTATATGCCTCATCTCCAGAAACGTTTGTTACTCCCTCCTTGCCTTTGTCCAGGGAATCCTGGGTAGGCCACCAAACTCCTTTCTCAAGCTGACTGGTGAGGTTTGGTCTAATCGGATGTGCATTTATCATTATCATATGTAGTGCAAAGTCCACATTCCGTACCTAATCCTGTCCCAGGGTCAGCCACATCCAGTTCCTGTGGATGTTTCTTCTGGTGCTGGCCCCAGTTCTCCTAAACAATCTGCTTCTGCTGCAGTTTCTTGGTGTTCTCCATGTGTAACATTGTCAGTTGTGCAGCTCTTCTACTACCATCCCAGAATTCCACATGCTTCCTCTGCACTTGTTTTTTTTTCATATTCCGAGGAGGACATCTCTCATTGCTGCCTGGAACAGAGTACACAGGAACAGGTTCTTTGAGATCATACATGTCTAAGACTGTGTTTCACCCTCCACTAACAGTGAGGTTGGGGCTGGAATTCTACTTGGAAGTAGGTTACCTGAGAATTTGGTGGCTCTGCTGCCTCCAACCTGAACTGTAGTCAGGATGCCTAGCACCACTGTGTAGCTCTGTTCTCATCCTCGACATGCGAGGGCCTCTTACTATTTCCTGTGCTGGGCATGTGGTTTTCAACCTTTAAATCTGAAAAGTGTGCCCCTCAGCTTCAGGAAAATTTCTAGAATTATTTATCCAAATAGTGTCTTTCATTTTTTTATCAATCTGAATTTCTGTTCATCAAATATTAGAACTTCTGGATCTTTCCTCTCATTTTCTTGACTTTCTTATTCTGTTTTTATTTTTTAAATGTTTTGATTTTTAGAGAGATAGGAAGGGAGAAAAAGAGATAGGAACATTGATGAGAGAGAATCATCAATGGGCTGCCTCCTGCATGCCCCTCACTGGGGGTCAAGCCCGCAACCAAGGTATGTGCCTTGACTGGGAATCGAACTGGCAACCTCTTGGTGCATGGATCAGTGCTCAGCCACTGAGCCACACCAGCTGGGCATCTTTTTTTATATATATATATAATACCCTTGGTTTTCTTCAATTCTTCTATTGAATTTAAAATGTTTCTCATTTTTAGTCCAGTCGGTGTGGCTCAGTGATTGAGTGTGGACCCATGCACCAAGAGGTCGCTGGTTCAATTCCCGATCAGGACACATGCCCAGGTTGTGGGCCCAATACCCAGTGCAGGGCATGCAGGAGGCAGACAGTCGATGTTCCCTCTCATCGATGTTTCTATCACTCTCTCCCTCTCTCTCTAAAATCAATAAAAAGGAAAAAAAATTGTTTTTAAATGTTTCTCATTTTTTATTTCTAAGTTACTATGATCTGTTCCTTCTGTGACATCACCCTTATTTTATGGATGTGATGTCTTGGCTCTGTTAGTTACAAGGCTTTTCCTTTTCTTTCCTGCAAGATGTGCGTTTCCTGTGAGGTATTTTTATTGTTTGTTTTGACTGCTTTGTGTTAAAAACTTTCTGATAGTAGCTAGTGATCTCTGGCCATTCGTTTACTCTTAGTTGTAAGGTACCTAGAAGCAGATGAGAAGTCCTGTGTGTGGGGACAGCTTATGGGTTTCACGTTATCCATGCTCAGGGCCTGGAGCATGGGCCTTCTCTTTGGGATGGTCAGTTCCTACTGTTGCTGGGCATAGTGGTTTGGGAGGGGGCCAGGGTCAGAGCCTCCATGTGAATATTCCCTTTGCACCTCATACCTGCCCTTACTTCTGCTATAGATGACCTAGGTGGGGCTGGTGTGTACACCAGATCCTGGACTATCAGTGCAAGGTGCCTCAGGGGGACTTGTGCCTATCAGAGGGTCTCCTGTCCACATGCCACCCTCAGTTAGGGAGCAGAGACTGGACACCGCCTGCTTCAGACTACCCTTAACCAGAGCTATAGGTAGGAAGTCTCGCAGCCTTCCTATCCCTCTCCAGGAAGGGACAGCTCTTGGGGTCCTGGTACAGCATCTAGCCCCTGGTAGAGGGGCAGAAAGTCTCTCACCTCCTCCCTTGGCCTTCGTAGAGCTAATGCCCTTGAGGAGCAGTTGAAGGAGCAAGAGCTGAGAGCTTGCGAGATGGTCCTGGAAGAGACACGGAAGCAGAAGGAGGTCTTGTGCAAGATGGAAAGAGAGAAGAGCATTGAGATCGAGAACCTGCAGGCCAGGTAGGCAAGGCCACCACAGCTCTGCAGAACAGTCAGTGAAAAAATGAAAATGCAGTGGATGCTTTCATGAACAACAGCCCCACCCCCCACCCAAGGAAGGTACAGTGTCTAGGAACAAATTCTGTTTTAAAAAATTGGAAAACCAATGTGAAGAAAACTGTAAAACTCTACTAAGAGATCTGAATTTAAAGAATGACCCTACGTGGATATCAGTTTCTCTAAATCTCTCTAGTTGGATGTTGGCTCAGTCAAAATATTTGTTTGTTAATTCTCACCGGAGGATATTTTTCCATTGATTCTTTTTAATATATTTTTATTGATTTTTCTTTTTCGAGAGAGAGGAAGGAGAGAGATAGAAACATAGATGGGCTGCCTCCTGCACGCCCCCTACTGGGGATCGAGCCTGAAACCCAGGCATGTGCCCTGACTGGGAATCGAACCGGGACCTCTCAGTCTATGGAGGATGCTCAATCCACTGGGCCACACCATCCAGGCTCCAATGATATTTTTGTTTTTAGATAGAGTAGAAGGGAGGGAGGGAGAGAGAGACACACATCAATTGTTTGCCTCCCACACAACCCAGATATGTGCCCTTGACTGGAATTGAACCCCATGACCCATTGGTCCACAGGATGATGCTCTAACCACTGAGAAAACCAGCCAGGGCTCAATCTTTTTGTAAGGCAACTTGACAGAATTACCTGTATGCTTCTGGAGGCATAAGCCTTACATGCGTCAGGAAAAGGAGAGAAAGGGATGAGTCCACTATATATAATATACCTTGAAGACATAGGAGGGGCAGGAGTCCTGTGCTGCTCAGGGACGGCAGTACCACACCCAGGCACTCAAGCTGCAGGCAAATGGCACACGCTTATAATTACACATGTGAGTGGTGGTTCTCTTAAATACTGTTTGTAAAAGAATACCCACAGATAACTTAACTGTCCATCCGCAGAAAAATAGTGAAAGGGTTATCTTAGAGTTCCCTCCCATTCTCAGAGCAGAACACCTCCACTGAGTGGGTAGTTAGGGTGGGGGGTATTTCATAGAGTTGTTTGTGGTTTTTTTTAACAGAGTCAGTACCACTTTTAGAATTTGAAATACAGTAGTTTTAAATATTCACAAAAGAGGACTCTACATTCATTACCTTTTTTTTCTCTCCAGCTCTTAGAGCTGGGAAGGTACACTTCTGCTTTATCTAGGAAGAGCTCCTGGCAGGAGTGTACTGCATGCAGAGCTGTGCCAGGGTTACCCTGAACAGGAAAGCCTCCTTGTATGCAGACACACTGGGGTGCCACCACCCAGGACAGTGGACCAAGGCAGCCAGGACAGCACAGTTCAGCGGACTCAATGCTATTTCTCATTTGTGCATGCTGATAGCCTCTCCTTTGGACTTCTCCACTGGAGTTGTGGGTGCCGAGAGGCAGAGCCATCCTGCTTTCCATGTTCTGACCACACCAGAGCCTACACAGCTAGGTTGTCCTGCTGCCTGTACAGGATGGCACCATGGAGGGATATGTGGTAGATGGGGTCTCATGCGGCCCTAGGTGATCTGAACAAGGCAGGACTCGATGTCACAGATTCTTCTGACCAAACCTACTGCACCTAGGGTCAGTTTCTCTGTGTACCTGGACCCTATCGGTCTTCTTGGGAGTGTGGGAGTGTGGTGGAGGGGCAGAGGAGGCTTATGGTTTTTGGGGAGCTGCTCAGGCCCTCAGAGGTCAGCCCAGCACAGGAGCCTCCCCAGCATGGCCTCAGCCCATTATGGTGTACAGGAAGACAGTCAGTAAGGAGGACTGCAGAGTTACATGGTAGTGAGGACAGCTGGATTATGGAAAGGAACCAGGGCTCCTTGGACAAACAGCTGAGTCTGTGGCGGGGACAGGTAGACCAGCGGAGCCTAGAGCATCTTGTAGTTCCAGAAAGTAGGGAAGTACTCAAACAAGAGCATACACACACAGTGGTGGGTGCATATCCCAGGGACATGAGCCAACTGAAGGTCAAAGGTGGGACAGTTTGAGCAACACACTAATAATGATACTATTAGACCACAACCCAAAGTGTAACTAAATGTGATAGTTGGTAAATGGGAAGAAGACACAAACCTTCCTCACAGAGATAGTCCAAATAATACATAGAGATGTCCCTTTCCAGTGCGTGTCTCTGAGTCCTCCCTTTCCCTGGAGGGTGGGCTCAACTCGGTGACTGGCTTCCAGATAGAGAGAATGGACAGGAAAAGTAGAACTTGACAGAGGAGACACCTGGCAAACATACCTTGACCAGGTGATCCAGGTCAACATCACCCATCATGAGTCATTTGGACTCAGGCACCCCAACTTGATATGACAAGAGTGGCACCTTCTGTAGGATTCTTCCCCAAACCATAACTCATCTAATCATGATAAAAATACCAGAAAGGCCCAATTTGAAGGACATTCTACTAAAATACATGACCAAAACTGCAAGGAACTGTCAAAATTCATGAAAAATAAGGAAAAGTTGGGAGAGTGCCTAAGACCATAGGAGACGATGGAGATGACTAAGTGGAGTGTGGTCCTGGGAGGGATCCTGGACAGAGAGGGGCACTTACGGAAAAGCTGAATTGCACCCGTAGTTTGGTGACCAGTGTGTCCCAGTGTGGGGGTGTGGGCTGTGAGCCTGCTACAGTGATGAGCAGATGCTTCTAGGGGAAGCTGAAAGGGGCTGAGGTCCACAGGGACTCTGCACTGTGTCTGCAGTTACTCTCTAAACTGAAATTACCCCCATACCCAGAGTACATTTAACAGTCATCCTAGCTTATGAAAAGCTTTGGCCCAGAGCACTTGTGTGCATAAGGGCTGAGCTATAGGCACTGTAGGGGGGTAGCCTCTGTGGATCCCTGAGCGGCCCCTAGTGAGGCTTCCAAGATGTTCAGTCTCCCTCATCCCAAGGAGGCGCATTCCTAGGGAATGGGTCCCAGCCTCATTCTATGTCCCAGGCTGCAGCAACTGGATGAGGAGAACTGTGAGCTGAGGTCCTGCACGCCCTGTCTGAAGGCCAACATCGAACGCCTGGAGGAGGTAAGCTGCCAGCCAGGAGCGCTGAATGGGCAGGGCCAGGCTTTGCACGGTGTGGTCACAGATCAGTCAGGCTGGCCTAGGTGCTTTTCCACACCCTTTGGCTCTGACGCCTGTTGGGGGATCAGGATGTACTGAGACAGATTATTCTCCAAAGCAGGGCAGTCACATGGCCAGCTAATGGGTCTGCAGGTGCATGGTCAGCCGAGGGGTGTAGCCAGCCAAGGTGTGCACTGCAGGCCGGGGAACTGTACTGCTCCAAAGAGCATGCTCATGATGCTGGGCCCTACTAGGCCTGCGTGTGAGGGAACAAGCTCAGCTTAGGCCACTATTTGTTTGCTGGAATATGCTAAAGCCTACCTAGCTCCTCAGCTTTGGGCCCAGATCCTTGGGCCCAGAGGTTCATGCTTAGATTGACCTGTGGTCTGAACTCAGGGATGATGTCCTTTGGGGGCTGACTTCAGCTGGATCCCTCATGCCCCATTCTACAGATGTTCACTGAGAGGCTTCCCCTCCCACATTCTTTACTGGCTGCTGTGAGCAACTCCTGCTGAGTGGCCACGGGTCAGGTCCTGCTCTTGCCTTCCCCTAGAAACAGTACTGTTGGGGGGAAGCACCCCAACACCAAGAGCACCCCAAGCCCTGAGAACATATGCCTGTGAGTGTGTACCTCAGCTTTGACAAGTAGGCTCAGGTGCAGCCCAATGCAGGTCAGTTAACTGAGACTCTCCAGACACATGCAACTGAGAAAAGACATGTGTTCATGGTAAGTATTTCACTTTGTAGGAGAAGCAGAAGCTGCTGGATGAAATCGAAGAGCTGTCACTGAGGCTCAGTGATGAACAGGAAAACAGGAGGAAGCTGGGGGACAGGCTGAGTCATGAGAGACACCAATTCCAGAAGGATAAGGAGGCAACCCAGGAGGTGAGCACAAGCCCAGGGGCCCTGGCTGTCACTCAGCAAAGTCCCAGAAACCATAGGACCCATCTGGAGTGAGCTGGGGACCCACCACTTTTAACTGTCATGCTGGGGGGAAGTGCTGGGTACGTGGTGGTATCATCATCCTCCTCAGAAATGGTGTTTAGACCAATGCAGAAGTTCTGAAACCAGGGACTGGGCTGACACTGCTCACCCTGTGGTTCTGCACAGCTAATTGAGGACCTGCGAAAGCAGCTGGAGCACTTACAGCTCTTCAAACTGGAGGCGGAGCAGAGGAGGGGCCGGAGCAGCAGTGTAGGCCTGCAGGAGTACAATAGCCGCACCCGGGAGAGCGAGCTGGAGCAGGAGGTCCGCAGGCTGAAGCAGGTATGGCTGGGCAGCTGGCATGGGAAGAGGGATGCCTAGGGGGTCATAGCCCAGGAATGACACTGTCGTGCCACCCACCCCAGGATAACCGTAACCTGAAGGAGCAGAATGATGAACTCAATGGACAGATCATAAACCTGAGCATCCAGGGCGCCAAGAACCTCTTCTCCACATCCTTCTCTGAGTCTCTGGCTGCAGAGATCAGCTCAGTTTCCCGCGATGAGGTAATGTACCCACTCCCCTAGGCCTGGGACTCGATAAGGTGCCCACAGTCTGTATGCCCAGTGCCTACCTCTTCTTCCACAGCTCATGGAAGCGATTCAAAAGCAGGAAGAGATCAACTTCCGCCTGCAGGACTACATTGACAGGATCATCGTGGCCATCATGGAGACTAACCCATCCATCCTGGAGGTCAAATAGAAGCAGGCAAGCCCAGCCCAGGGTGATTCTGGACTCCACCAACATCCCAGAGATGGCCATGGCACACATGGGCCAAGAATAACAGGTCCCATGCCCACCAAGCCCAGAGCACACAGATGAGCTGGGGCACATAAAGATGGGGTGGTGGAAGAGGGGAAAGGAAAGGGAAGCCCTAGGTCTACAGCCCACAGCAAGTGCAATTGGAATTGGGCTTGCTCTCAGCTCTGGCCTTCCTCTGCCCTCCTCCTCTCTGCAGAGATGTGGGGACAGTTTCTCAGGCTGAGATAAGCCCCTCCATGAGCTCCCTTCTGCTGTCCTGCCCTTTTAGGGGAGAAAGGAAGGAAATGGGTTCCCACCTGTGGTGCAGCCATCTATGTCCACACAGGCACCCTGACCTGGTGCCATTCAAGTCTCAGCCACTCCTGGATAATCTAGAGGCTCCAGGACCCTCGCACCAGATGTGGTGGTATGTGAAAGAAAAACAGGCAGTGAAGCCGGTGCAAGTCAGGGTCTGACCCTATAGAAGCTGCAGGGACCCCCTCTTCCCACAAGCTTTTCTGGGGCTGTCACCCAGAGCTGCTCAGGCCATCACCCAGCCAGAAGGGGCATCTCAATCCAGCTTAAGGCCCAGGGGCCTCTGGCCATGTGTCTGTTCCCACAGTTGGACCCTAACTACAATAACCTTTGGGAGCTCTGATCCTCCTGCAGGATCTGGGGCAGGGGCCTCTGCTCTGAAATCAGACTTGAGAGTCTATGGTGTGCAATATACTGTCTGATGTGGTGGACATTGCCAGCATCCCCTGACTCCTGGGGTCCAGACAGGGCCGTTGTAAGGTGCTGCCTCCCCATGGGTGTGGCCTTCCTGTCCTCCTGGATTACCCAACTCCCTGTGCAGACCTTGGCTGCCTCGGGTGAAGTCCCACTTTATGAGGCCAGAGTCCATATGTTTCTTCCCTGAAGTCATTAGAAGTCATCATTCTTTCCCAGGTGCATTCTGCAAGAGGCCGGGCAGGGCAGGCTCTCCAAGGACACAGATCAAGGGCAGAGAACAAGGACTTCCTGGCGGATTGGGGGTTCCTTTAAGGAAACCCTTGCCCCGCTTTATGCTGCCACTGTCCATCACCTGTGCTACCAGGAGCAGCAGTGTCACCCCCATGGGGATGTTGGGCCTGTTGCCCACGTTAGCCTGAGCACTGGCCAGGAGCCTCCAACTGCTCCCAGGTGGGCCAAGACCCATGCACAAACTGGCTACTGTTGTATGCAACTGAGTATGGGAGGTGTATGCATGTGTGTGTGCGTGTAAGCATGTGTGTTGCCCTGCATCCCTCCATCCTCCACATGGTCCACCTTCTACACTAAGACTTAAGATTTTGCCTCGTATTGTATATTTTGGGGAAAGCCTTGGATGTAAATCAGTGTAAACTTGGAGGAGAGATTTTTCTATCTTGTAGAGTAGGTATTTTTTATAGATTGAAGGTTGATCAATTTTTTTAAATACTTACAAGAGAGAAAACTATCTGTGTATACACATGAAATATATATATATGTATATATATATATGTATGTATGTATGATAATAAATACGGGAACTCTGCTTTCTGCGCCCAACCTCACCCTGCTGTTGCAGCCTTGGGTCTGTTTCTGTCTATCACTCAGCAGTACTGTAACTATAAATAAATATTGCTGGGAGATGTTTCACACAAACACTTAGGCACTGACTTGCCCACTGACCGTGCTCTCATCCTCTCAAGAAAGACTCTTCCAGGCAGAGTGACAGCGGCCTGTATGTGAAAGGGCAAGGCCAGAACAATGTCACCACAGATTAAAGCTTTTGCTGCACACACACAGGTTGGCGCCTTCCTCTGTGGGGGTTGAGGGGTGGGGTGGGGTGCAATAGACCTCGTTCAGTACCTCTTATGGTATTTGGGGTATTGGGAGCCAGGCATCACCTGAATTCAGACAGCAGACCACCTAGTCGAGCCAGCTCCTCCTGGCCTTCCTGTCCTCATTGTGAACCTCCAGGAGGCCCCAGGATGGGACTCCAGCAGAGTTTGTCCAAGGGCACTTCTGGGGCAGAGCCATGTGATGGGTTCCAGGGGCCATAAAATCATAGTAGGACCTGGCCCCTGAGTGCAGCCTGGCTGCCAACATAGTACCGAGAGCCAGCTGGGCTGAGCAGTGGGCAGCGTTGCAAGAATCTAGGGTTCATGAACAAGCTGTTTCCATGGGACATGTAATCAGGGATGAAGTTAAGGGCCCCAGGAGAGGCTGTGCACAGAGTACCCAAACTGAATGCACCGAAAAGGCCAAGACCTTGACAGAATTGGGCTCAAAGGGTGGGGAGGGAGGCTGGGAGGAGAGTTCAGCTGGCATTTTAGTCCCAGGGATACTACCAGGAAGGTTACTAAGGGTAAGTGATCAAATCTGACTTGAAAGGGAGTTGTTAGCGAGAAAAGTCCTCTAAACTGCATCTCCCCCCCACTCTTGACACTGAGCTACTTGCGTGCCAGACACAAATGGAGAAACTAAAGGCCAGGGAGGCCAGGGAGACCAGGGACCACACCCCAACCACCCAGCCAGCACAGAAGAGAGTTGAGTTAAGGTTTGCTGGCCCCGACTGCTGTCCATGGGGTTGATAACCTGAAGGTGGTGATAGGTGGACACAGCCTGTCCTGAAGCAAGCAGGACCCCCAGACCTCATCTATTGGGGGTATAGCAGAAGGACTCCAGGGGTTCTCGGGATGAGGCCCAGGAGCCTTGGACACTGTGTGGAATGGCACTGAGGAAGGAACTTGGAGGGTGTGGTTCTACCTGGAGCCCACTTCCTACCAGGAGTCCTGGGGAGGGCCAGGGAAATGTGGGGTACTTGGCCCTGCACATCTAGCTTGCTAAGTCCCCACCTATGCTCTTTGTGCTTAGAAGGTGTAGCTCCCTAGGTCGCTGTCTAAGTCAGAGAGAGGGTCCAACACCCTTTCTCATTATCAAGTCCTTTAGCTGGACTTGCACCAGGCCACTCACAGTGGGCCCAGTCCTGGCCAGGAGGGCAGCCTTGTGCTGGAGCCTGAGGTGTTGGCTTCAACCCCAGGCTTCTGGGTCCACTCAGCACTGGGGAGCACCAAAGTGCTGCCATAGTGGGTTCAGAATGTCATTAGGGGTCCTAGAGGGCCTTGTTCCCAGTCTGGCTGCACTGAGGAGTCTGCTGGCCCAGGAAAAGGCCAGTACCTCTGCTTTGATGCTGGATGACACCTGTCCTACCCTATGTCTGTTCATCTGGCACCTGCAGGACCCATCTCTTCCTAGGAGGAGAAGCTGGAAGTGGGGAGGGATCCTCTCCATCAGGTGAGGCCAAAGCCAGGAAAGGGAAGAGGGGAGCTTCTTCCTCCTTGTTACCTCACTGAGGCCTGCCAGCCCCTCCCATTCATTTCCACTCTTATACATGGGAGCCCACCAGCAGCTGATGCTAAAATCCCTGCCCTGGCCCTCCAGACATCTCCAGCCCCATGGGAAACACTTGGGATAGGGTGGGGCTGGAGAACAAAGGATGAAAATCCATTGTAAATGCCAACAGGGCAGTGATGGGCTACTGCCCAGGAAGGGATACCTGGAGAGATTTCTTCCAGGTGGCTGAGGTCAGGAGTGGGGCCCCTGGACAGACCCCAAAGAGTGTGCTGGAGGAGGCCACAGTGGGACATGTGAAGCCCGTGTCAAGTCCTGCACCCCAAACCTGAGTGCATTCCTTCCATGTGGGGATCCTCCACACCCCAACCCTGAAGTATCTGGCCACAAGTCTTCCCACCACCAGTGGTCAGTTCTACCTAACAGAATAGCACAGAGCAAGGCTCTACCCCCTCCCCTGGAAGAAGACTGCTGGCAGGTGGCTACATGGCAGGCCCTGGTTCCTCCAACTGTCCCAAGTGCACTGCCTGGGCCCTCAGCTCATGCCTGCTCCAACTTGTCCATGCTAAAAGGGGTACCTGGCCTTGTTCCCAGCTCGGTGCCCTAGCATCTGCCCCCTGCACTTGTTGGCATTCAGAGACGAGGAGATGAAGGCCCAGAGAAGGACCCTTACTTTCTACCTGTGAGGGCATCTCACAAAGCAGGTGATTACTGGTCATTCCATAAAATCAGCCAGCCCATGAGTTGTGTCTCTTCCAGCACAGGTGCATCTTGGCCTGCCTTCTGGCCTTGGGTCCCACCTGCCTGTGACACCAATAAAGGTCCCTGTGTCTTCATCCTACTAGAATCTGCTCCACAGGGCATCTGGGCATGTTGTGTTTACTACTGTGTCTCAAAGCCGAGGACAGTGTGGGCACAAGTAGATTTGCACAGGGATGCTTTAATTAATGCTTTCTGCTTGGCCCTCTTCACCCGTTCTCCAGGTGGGTTCACACCTCCCCCTCACAGGAGCTATCTTAACTTTAGGGTTGTGAGGGTGGTATCCTCTGGCTGGGATGGTACTGGCCACAAGGTCTGGGTAGTCAAAAGCCACTTACTTTGCCTGGCTGGTTTGGCTCAGCAGTGTCAGCCCATGGATCGAAAGGTCATGGGTTTGATTCCCCATCACTGGGGTCTTGCGGGAGGCAGTCAGTCCATGTGTCTCTTATGTCAATGTTTCTCTCTTTCTCCCCCTCCCTCCTTTCCACTCTATCTAAAAATCAAAAATCAATAGAAAAATATCCTTGAGTGAGGATTAAAAAAAGAAAAGCCACTTCTGCTTTATAGTTTTGTTTTAATCCTCACCCAAGGACACTTTTGCATTTATCTTCTGATAGAGTGGGAGGGAGAGGGAGGAAGAGAGAGAAACATCAATGTGAGAGACACATCGACGCTGCCACCCACATGACCCCAACTGGGGCCAGGGACAAACTGCAATTGAGGTACGTGCCCTTAGGGGGAACTGTACCCAGGACTCTGATCCATGGGCCAACACTCTAACCGCTGAGCCAAACTGACCAGGGCTGCTTTATGGTTATTTAACGTTTGCATCTGTATGTCTCAGAATATTTAAGATGATCCTAGGTTGACTCCACAGATGTGTGCCTCATCGGGCTGCCCTGGTCCTCCTGCTGCCTGCCACACATGGAACCCATTCATTCTAGCCCCCTCCTGGGAACAGTAAAACAGTCTAGAACAATATTCCCAAGACCCTCTTCTGGTGACTGGCCTTTCTTCTCAACAACAGGCGTTGTTGGTTCCTTACTGGGGAAGGCTAGGATGCTCTTGGTCTCTCCTTACCCCTGTGTATGGCCTGACTTCAAAAATCTGCAGAGTCCAGCCAGTGGGGCTCTCGGTTGAATATCCCATGCACCAGGAAGTCACCAGTTCAATTTCCTGTCAGGGCACTTGCCTGGGTTTCAGGCTCAATCCCCACTTGCAGGAGGCAGCCAATGGATGTTTGTCTCTCATCGATGTTTCTATCTCTTCCTTTCCTTTTCTCACTCTGAAATCAACTAAAAAGAAACACCTGTGTGTGTGTGTGTGTGTGTGTGTGTGTGTGTATATAATTTTTTTTTAATCCTCACCCGAGATATTTTTGTTTATCTTCAGATAGAGTGAGAGGGAGGGAGGGAGACATCAATTGGTTGCCTCCCGCCCGACCCCGACCAGGGCAGCGGGGGACCAAACCACAACAGAAGTACATGCCCCTGACTAGAATTGAACCCGAGACTCTTTGGTCCACAGGCCGACACGAACTGCTGAGCCAAACCGGTCAGAGCAAAAAACCCATTTAAAAAAATTTTTTTTTCTTTATTAATTTTAGGGAGAGGGAGAGAGGTAAAAACATCGATGAAAGAGAACACAGACTGGCGGCCTCCTGCATGCCCCCAACTGGGGATCTGGCCCACAACCTGGGCACGTGCCCTGACCAGGAATCGAACTGGCAGCTTCTTGGTGCATGGGTTGATGCTCATCCACTGAGCCACACTGGCTGGGCAAAAAATCCATATTTTTTTTGACAATTGTTTAGTTTTTATTTCATATTCATAAACTTAACTCTGCAATCCAGCTAGACTTGGAAAGTAAAGAAAATATGGAACTCAACGAACTGCAACAAGAGCATGAATAGTATAGAACATTCCAAGCAGATTAGGGTGAAGGGGTGGCTCTCCTGAGCTACAGAAGGAATGGTCTGGTAGTTAAGATAAAACACAAGTCAAATTTATGAGAGTTGTCCACAGTCAGCAATGGTGACTTTTTTGGTGGTCTTGCCATTCCTGGACCCAAAGCTCTCCATGGTTGTCACAATATCCATGCCGTCTTTCACCTGGCCAAGGACCACGTGCTTGCCATCCAACCACCCAGTCTTGGCAGTGCAGATGAGACTGGGAACCATTTGTGTTGGGTCCAGCGTTTGCCATGGACAAGATGCCAGGACCCGTGTGCTTCAGGATGAAATTCTCATCATCAAATTTCTCCCCGTAGATAGACTTGCCGCTAGTGCCATTGTGGCCTGTGAAGTCACCACCCTGGCACATAAATCCCGGAATAATTCTGTGAAAGGAGGAACCTTTATAACCAAATCCT